ACCCCCCCCCCCCTATTATTAATTGTAATTCTAGCAAAAAAAATGTGTTTCAATACTTTATTAAACTCATATATAATCTGTCACTCTATCATACATCATTACGTTTGTGTGTTATAATATATATATACCAAACTCTAAAACAAAAAAAATCAACTCAAATAGTGAAGAAAATTTATTTAAATCAAGACAAAGATAAAACACTATCAGTTCGGCCCTAATTTAGTTATATGATTTAACTTCAACATAATTACTGCATTAGAGTTAAGGAATTTTCAGGTTAAAGTTTTAAAAATATTTAAATAACATTCAACAGTTTCCATAGACACTATTTTGTCTGTTTATTTAAAAGATTTACAATATTGAAAAGAAAGCAAGCAGAATACTTCAAAGTTGTCAGGAAGATAATTAATACAACAACTTGACTCATTTTACACAGAGAAAACAAAGACTTCCATGTAACAGGCTGGAGTATATTAGAGCTGGATTAAAAAAAAAAACACCAAATGACATCAATTATGAGTCATGTAAGAAAGGAATGGATCAAAATGTAGGTCACAAGTATCTGAATGTAAAAAGTTTTACATGACAGGTGACTACTAGCATAACAAATTTAATTTAAAAATAAATAATTGATTTTCTTTGAAACTTCAGTCCATTAGTTTTTATTTTTAAAATCATACCCTTTATCTATATATATAATTCAGTATAAACCAGGCAGACAAATTTAATAACTATTAAATGTATTTTTTTTAAAAACTCCATATCAAATGTTATTAAAATTACTACCTACATTTCAGGACTTTATTCAATAGCTTTATTATTGCACACAAAATTTAAGGTTTGTAAACTGTAAATTTTAGTTTTAAAGAGATAAACAAATTAAAATAAATAATTAAATATTTAAAACAAAAGAGAAAAAGTGGCTAAAGGAATTTCCCTTTTGCAAACCTTGCACAAAAAATATAAGAACAGCAGTGCAATAATTAATTATATGCGATTTCTACGCCAGATTTAAAATGGCAATGAAACTTATATGAATTTTTTGAAATAGTCCATAGTATTTTTACACCTTTATACAGTTCTACACAGAAAGACCACAATATAGGAATGGAAACTTTGAAAAAAGAAGTCAATGATTAAAAAAAAGAAGAAATGTTTTTGTGGCAAACTAATTTTTTAAATTGTAATGTGGTAAAAAATTAAAGAAGAAAACTTTAATTAGGTCTTTCAGCTTGATGCACCCAATACAAAAATATTTATCACTATAAAAAACAAATCAGTTAACTTTAAAAAAGAAAATCTTAAAAAAAAAAGCACTAGCTAAAATGTTATAAAATATGGGAAAATGGAACCACACTACTGATCTTGAATAGCAATTTAAAAAAAGAAACACTTGAAAAACAATATTTTCATTTCTTTTAATTTCCTCACATAATATTCTAAAAATAAAGTTTAAAATAAGGCAACATCTATTTGAATATTGACTTAGACCAGGAAACTAAATTCTTAGGAGACCACCATTCTCTGATCTACATATATATAATCTTTTCTTCAATTAATTGCAAATATTGTAGAAATCTAATTAGGTCTATATTATAGAAATAATTTAAATATATTTTAAAAATATTTGACAATGAATCTGAAGAAATGCCATCATACATTACACCATATTTGTTGTAATAGCCACTTCTGGTAATTGCCATACGGAAGTACAAGGGGGGAAAAAGCAAACAATGTACAGCAATATAGAAACATTCTTTTAAAATAAGAAGCACAGAAGACTTGCAGGATGGGAAAATGTCTTCACAAACTTTGGATGTGGGCCATGATTTCTGGTCTGAGATGCTCTTTAGCCACAGCCTGACCTTTTTCCCGAGCCACCTCCTTGAGTATATCAGCATCCCATGAAAAATGTACAACTGCAGCTGGGGCAAGGCCAAGTTCAGCTAAAGTAGCATCACCATCCTCCAGTTTAGTACTTGTCCCTGATATTAAATTAAAAGGTATCCAGTCGTTGACTATGTTTTCTTTCACAAACTGGTAAACTTGCTTCATACTTTCATGAGCACGGAACACACCCTGGAGTAATATACCATCAGGAAACTTGATGCGAAGCAGAACATAACGATACTTTCGAAGCTCCCTGTGCTCATCACGTTCCCTCATAGCCTTTGTTCTAAGCATGCCAAGTTTCTCAGTGGCTTCCTCGCGTCTTTGCTGCTCTTTTTTAAATTCTTCAGGGCTGATGTTGTAAAAATCCTCTGGAACATTAAAGGTTGAGGCAGACTGAGACGGGTGAAATACTTTCAAATCTCGATCAAGCTCTGGTTTAATGGGTTCAGCTTGGAGCAAAACATCTTTCATATTTTTTAAGCGATCTACATCTTTTGCCAGATCTGAGTCGAAAACATAAAAAGATGCTTCGCCATCCTCAAATGGAAGAGACTTTAAAGAAAATCCTGCAGCTAGCAGAAACTCTTCTGTTCCTTTCATACAGGCCACTCTCTCTTGAAATGCCTTATTGGTCTGACGAATTTTCCAATACTTTTCTTCTGTGGGATTATTTATAATATTATCTATATATTTGATCAGCGTTTCTATGCAGATTTTTACCTTTTCCTTATTTTTATTCAAGGTGTGGATCATCAAGGCAGATGTCATCTCTGGCTCATCTTCATAGTTCTCTAACAAAAACCTATGTATGGCTCTCTCCATCTCTGACTTAGGAAGTAGCTGAGGTCCAATGTCTGGGCATTTAAAGAGAACAGTCTCAAGTACTGGTGCACTGTCCTGGACAACCTCTACAGGACCTGCCCTAGCTTCAGCCCCCTTCTTTTCAGCCTCTAAAAGTCTCTTTCTCTCAGCTTCCATTTCTCGTTTCATCCTTGCTCTCTGAATAACCATGCTGTCTGCTGTGAAAAAAAAAGAAGAACAATGTATAAAATAATTAATGAATCAGAATGCTACCTATAGAAATTTCCATAACAAGTTTACTTGTCATATAATTAACTTTGGTGTTGAAAGCTTTGGGTGACTTTAATCTTTAAACAACACTTTTATAGAAATGTGTAAATTATCTTTAAAATTAAATGTGTATTTGTGTTTCTTAAAGAACAAGACTCACCATTTTTTGATTGCTGTTTTAATTCCATTCTTGCTAAAGCTGCTTCTGCTGCTGCCCTTCTGGCTGCTTCAGTTTCAGGGTCTTTTGTCACTTGTTTGGATTTTGGTGGTGTAGAGCTTACAACTTTTGTTGCAGTCGATGATGATGACTGATCTAGTCGATGACCTTCCCCAGCTTTCTTAAACTTAACATTTAATTTTCGTTTCTCAAAAAACTTTTTGATGGCTGCCATTTTGCCCTTTAAATGCTATTTTGTGACTTTATTCTTTCTTAAGATGTTTTATTTGATCTGCAAAATAAATGTGCAACAGTTAAATGTTATGTAAAACTTGCCTTTAAATTTAAAAAAACTCTTCACTTTATCCTTTTTACTCCTTGAGGGGCATAGGGCCTCCACCATAACTTTCCATGCCTCCCAAGACATCCCTGCTGTCACCAGTTTGTCCACCTCCAAAAGTATCTTGGGCGCCGTCTCTTTTGGTTTTCCTGGGGCTTCCACGCAAGCAACTGCTGTATCACATTCGAGTGAGCATTTCACAAGTGTGTCCCACACAAGGCCACTTCCTCCTACTTACAAGCACTGTCATAGGCTCTTGTCTCATCCATCTTCATAGGTCTATACTTAACTATACTATATTTAACTATATTACATTATTTGCCTTAGCAGGCACTTTGTCCTACCATCTCAATTTCAGAATCTGTCTGAGACATTAGTTAATGAAGGGTTGCACCTTGTCTGCACAGGTGAGATCGGAGTAATAATGGACGATATATACATATAGTTAAATAGTAAGATGACAAAATTAAATTATTAGGCCTAGACCTAGACTAGTACTAACTAACTTAACTTAACTGATAAATAAATTAAATTAAATAATTTTATTTTTACCCTTAGATGACAGCAGTTTGATGTTATCTTCACCAAATATTGCCCATGCCAGTTTAATCAAAATGAGATTAACAATAAACCATGTTAGTAAAGCTACAAGCACTTGGTACTGAATATCAGCATTTGACAATTTCTTTGAAAGATGATACAGATGAACCCAGCTGTCCCACACAAAATCCGGAATCACAGGTAGTACTGTAGCACTAAGTGTATCAATTACTCGCGCAGAATACGAGTGAAGTATACTTTCTTCTGTCATAACAAACAATTAATGTTCATCTCATTATAAATTGACTAGCTATCGTGAAATAGCTTATTGTTATTGCTTGTTGAGGTTTATGTTTTCACTTGTAAAACTGAATACAGTTTGTCAGTTTCGGAGTGATGAGATGTAAACAATTTTAACACTTCCTGTTTAATATCATATCGCAATATAAAGAAAACTTAATTATTAATAACGTTGGAAACCCGCGTTGTCTTAATTAACGACTTTCCAAATTCATTATTAAAAAAGTTAGCCTACTTATTATAATATGGTAGACTCTAATGTAAGTATTAAATATTTAATTTGATTGAAACAAAATAAATAGATATAATATAAAGCCTTAGGTCTTATATATAATATTTTGATAGGGGGACAAGTTAGAAAAGTGGATTATTAATCTTATAATAAGAAGTTATGTCATTAATCACTACGACCAATAAAGCCAGCAAAAAATGTGATCTGGCACTTGAAACTTCTGGGGATGGGGTACTGGTTAAAATAAGCTTATAGCGTCTATATTCTATATTTTAAATTATTTCTCTCGGGAGGGGGGGGGGGGAGGTGAGAAGGTCGGTAGCCGGTAGACGTGTTCAGTTGTTTTAATATTCTGTTCTTGAATTTTTTTTTTACTGGCAGAAACCTAATGAGTGTAGACGTACCAACAAATTCTCAAAGTTATAATACTAATAATATAAACTAAATATATAATTTACAACTTTTTTGAGCAACAGACCATTAATGACGTCACTCTCGTGGGGGAGGGGAACGTAATTTTGTAACGATGTAATGTAGTGTGATGAGAGGAAAAGAGGGGGAAGGGAGGTTCAGATAGTGTGGCGTCACACTTTGCTGAATTTTAGCGTTTATTTCGTTTTTTAGAAAACTGATATAATAAATTGTAATAGAAACTGATTAAAATAATCTAAATTTACCGGAGCGAGGGGAAGGTAAAAATGGTCCAAAAATGCGTGACGTCATGGAAGACCCCCCCCCCCCCCCTAAAAAAAAACTACCTGTTACCTAAACTATTTCCTATGACAGAATCTACTTGAAATCTATATAGATCTAGAGTATATAGATCTAATCTAACTGTAAAAAAATATATTAAAAAACCACTATATACTCATAGTATATATGACGATTCCTCCCCCCCCCCCCCCCCAACATACACATCATATGGGACATTGTAGTCTTTTTAAAAAGCTGTTTTCTAAATTTAGGAAGGTAACAGAACAGTTTGAAATATAAGAGAATATCAATAAAAATAAATAAATAGGCTTATTAAGTTTTATTAGATTTACAACTAGAATACATTTTTGTGTACAATTTGGAAATTGCGGTACGCAGTGTGACCTTTCTTCGTAGTTTAAATTATAGATTAGTATTTACTATTTAGTAGAGTATCACTATAGATCTAGAATCTACTACTTTATACTTTACTATACTAGTAAGTAGATCTAGGCCTAAGTAGTAATTACTAATTAGAAATTAGTGAGTAATTGTTTGGTAATCTATCGTTTTCTAGGTGCGTAAAATCGGCCAAGGAAGGCTAGTACTAGATCTAAGTATATATAGTAATTAATAGTCTAGATTTAGTTAGTAATGTGAAAAAAAGTTGCCTCATTGTTAAGGCTTTAATTTATTGTAATAGATGTGTATATTATTATTTATGTCAAATATTATGTCATAAAAATGAATAATAAATCAAAAGCAATAGCTAAATGTAAATATGTGAGGTCAGAAATTAACTTTAAACAGCAGTGTTTGGAGCAAAATTTGCTATTTAAACAGCAGTTATCTGTGTAAATTAGAGTGGTTTCCCTTGAATCTTTAACTAAAATTTTACCAAAAAACTTAAACAAGTTGGCTGCTTAAGTAGATCTTGGCAGCATCTGATGAAAACATTACATTGCTACGCCTAATCTTTATAATATTATAATATAATAGATCTATATACTATATATTATATATTACTGAAAATTTTTATTATAATTTTTTTATTGTTCAAAAACATGTTAGTTAGGTTAGATTTGCCTGTTGTCCCTCCTTGGACATAGGCTGCTTACAAGAGCTTGCCAGGACTCCTGGGCTAATCTCTCCAACTGTCCCCAGGTGTATCCAATCTTCTTGGTGTCTTCTTCCAGGTCACATCTCCAGGTCTTTCTTGGTCTGCCTCTCCTCCTGCCCTGTGGATTCTAGGTGAGGGCCTGTCTTGTTATGCTGCATACAGGCTTCATGAATGTGTGGCCAATACATTTCCATTTTCTCTGGAGGATCTCTACTTGAACTGGCAGTTGAATTGTCCATTGCCATAGAACATCATTTCTGATGGTTTTAGGCCAGTGTATTCGCAGGATCTTTCTGAGGCATGCATTTATAAATGATTTTCTTCTTATTTATAGCAGTTATTCTCCATGTTTCAGCTCCATAGAGTAAAACAGGTTTTAATAGTGTGTTGAAGATCCGGATTTTTATTCCAAGGGTTAAATCTCCAGAACCCCAAACATTTTTTAGTTGGTTGAAGACTGCTCTTGCCTTGACCGTCCTTATTTTGACGTCTGCTTCTGTCCCACCCTGCTTATCAACAATATTTCCAAGGTAGGTAAATCTATCCACTTCTTCTAGGGTGCTGTGCGATGAAGGAATATCCAAACCAATGCGGGGACCGCCACCCGCGTGGTGCGCTAAGAGAATATCTCGTGGGCTAGAGGGAGAGCATTGTGCTATTCTTTTTTACCGTAGCGGAGCACATGTATAAGCTAGTTACATATATTTATATAATTTATATATATATATATATATATATATATATATATATATATATATATATATGTATATGTATATGTATATGTATATATATGTATATGTATATATATGTATATGTATATATATGTATATGTATATATATGTATATGTATATATATATGTATATATATATATACATATATATATAGTAGATCTAGTCTAGCTTCTAGATTTTCTAAACTTTTACTCTCAACTTTCTGTAGTAAAGAAAATAGATCTAATAGATAATCTAGACTAGTAGATTCTAAAAATCTAATAATAATTAATATTTCTTTACCTAATTATCTTAATATTAATATAACATAAAAGATTCTTTTCGTATTCTTGAAGTAACCTACAAACTGGCGCTCCAATAACTAGGATCCATTGTTTACATTTAAATAACTCAGTATGAATTAGTTTTAGATAACAAGGTCACATGTCTAAAAATATTTCTTTGGTAACGCATTGATGAAATCCTCTTTAAATTGTGCGTCAAGCTGCAGAAAAGCGTGGGACAGGTACGCTAGTATTATTTAAAAGTTAATAACCAGATCCATTGGTGAAATCTAAGTTAAGTATTGTAGAATCCATCTATATAAAGTAAAGTTTAGACTTGACTGTAGACCATAGTCAAGTAGACCTATACTAATTCTTAACGTTGGCTATGGTCTATAATTCATGGTGACTCACTATATTTCATTATTTTGTTTTGTTGTCATTAATTTTTCTGTATTTTAAAATTTCTTTCTTCTGTTAAATCAAAATAAACCTAATTTTTTTTATTGTTTTTGTTTAGGAAAGGTGTATTCTAAGATTGCTACTTGAATGAAGAGGCCCAGGCTGATATAATGAATTTTAAAGTCTTATTAATTGTTATCACTCTTAAGTTGATACCCTATACAATCGAACATGAAGGGCCTAAAAGTCTAGGAATTAATTCAGCAGATAAATTGGCAGCATTGTACAGTAACATAAACAATCCTGAGCAGATTCACTTAGCTTTGGGTGACACGTCAAATGATATTATTATTGTGTGGTCTTCAGTTGAAGAAGAGAAATTTTTTGTTGAGTTTGGGAATGACCCTAACCATTTAGAAAGGGTTTTAAGCAGATGTGAAAAAATGAGTGAACACAGTGAACAGGCTGCTAAATTTGTTTACAGAGCACAGCTAATTAACTTGAAGCCTGGGACCCGCTACACTTACCGCATCCTCAGTGAAAATTCAAAAATTAAATCTGACTTGTTTACCTTTGAAGTTGTAGGTAGTGACCCTAGCTCATCTAATTATTTCTTGGTAATGGCAGATTTGGGACTTCAAACTAAATCTCTTAGTTTTATTGTACATGAAGTGTTAAATCAGAAATATAATGCGGTTTTTCACATAGGAGACATTGCTTATAATTTGAACACAGAAGGAGGAAGTTTAGGAGATCAGTTTATGAAAAGAGTTGAAACATTTACAGCAAAAGTACCTTACATGACAACACCAGGTGACCATGAGAGATTTGATTCTTTTTATCATTATCGGTATAGGTAAGCTTTTGTTCTGTATAGTTAAACTAAACAATTTTTAAAAAAACATTTTTTAAACAATAAATACCTGAAAATTAAAATAACTTTTTGGAAACGGGTACAGTAGGCGTAGTTTATTTATTTTTAAAAATTGTCTTATTGGATTTTGAAAAATTCTCGTTAATTGTATTACATTTTTACATATTTAGTATACATTTATTTTTTTAAAGTTTTGTACCATTTTTTTTTTAGGTTTTCCATGCCAAATTCTCCTTGGCCAATGTCACTAGAAAGCCTTTGGTATAGTATAGACATTGGCTATACTCACTTCATCAGTATTAACACAGAGGCCATCCTGACCAATTCTCAAGAGAAATACAAACAGATTGAGTGGTTAAAAAGAGATTTAGAATCTGCTAACAAACAGCGCCAACTCCACCCATGGATTATTGTCATGGGCCATAAGCCAATGTACTGTACCAAATCTTTGATGGAGCAAGAATGTCATAAAGAACACTCTGCTATTAGAGAAGAGCTGGAAGACTTGTTTTTTGAGCAAGGTGTAGACCTTTATATTAGTGGACATAAACACTGCTATGAGAGATCATGGCCTATGTATTTAAGCAGAGTATTTCAGACTAACACCTTTAATCCTCAAGCACCACTCTATATTGTTATTGGAGCCATGGGATATGAATATATGGTAGATAAACAAATGTCTTCACCTTACTGGCTTGCTTTTGCTATGTCAAATAGTAAAAAAGAACTTTTTGCAAGACTGAAAGTGCTAAATGAAACACATCTTATTTGGTCAGTGCATGCTGGTGACACCAATGAAGAAGTTGACAATGTGTTAGTTATACAAAAGAAACATGGCTCATTTGGAAAGGCTGGGCCTGAAGCTTTTGAAAAAATTAAAACAAGAAGCAGTAATGCTGATCAGTTACCACCAGAGCCATTGAGAATCATAGATGAGACTTCTCAAAACTTTCAGTATAGAAGAGCTATTCTATTTACAACTGTTTTTTTTCTTTCCTTCATAACTTTTATATTTTTTAGAAATTCACGAGTAAGAAAAGTTTTGAGATTATAAAAAGAAGTTTTACTCTAATAATAGGTTATTTAATTATTTAAGATTTATAATAATAGTTTGTGTGTTACTAAATGCTACTGCCAATTTGCATACCATTAGGAAAAGCTGCCGATTTTTGCATTACAACTCTCAGAAAAATTGAGTAATTTCTGTTCTTACTTGAATTATTTTATTACCGCCAATTAATCATAATGTTTGAAAAATTGTTAAGTTCATTCCACAAATGCAATTCTTTTATGCATTAAATGTACACAATTTGTAAATATGTAATTAGGCTACAAATAGTTGAAATGGCCATGGGACAAATTCATGAATGAATGTGTTTTCAATTAATTCCATAAGTTATAATAGTAAAACTAACTGTAAGTATTAGCTGGTTTTCTGGGAATTTATTTTCTAGTAATTAAAACCAAAAGTGCCTTTTGAATTGTTATTTTTATGTATAATTAAAATAATTTTTTTTATATCAAGAAATTAACCCTGCTTTATGTCTATAGACAGGTAAAAATACTTTTTTTTACAACATTGAATATTTTATATCTTAAAGGATCTCACTTCACAAATTATCTTTATATTTAAAGACTATTTAGAATATTCTTCTCTCAGAAACTATTTTACTTCAGTTTTTTTAAAAACATAATGGTTCTAATTTATTATCTATTGATGTATAAAATAAGGTTAGGAACGTATGCAATTGAATCTGTTTATGCTTTATGTTTCTACACTGTTTCTTCTGTTGGATGTTATTGTTCACAAGTATTACAGTAAAACAAACAACAGGAATGTCAATGTAAATTTGATTTGAAATTTTTTTTAAATATGTGGGCCTATTTTATATAAATTATTTTGAGGTTGTGAATAATGTTTTAAAGGTTTCTATTAAACTTATTTTTGTATTTAAAAAATAGCAAATGATTTTTCATGAGTGTTTAACTCTTTTCATAAAATGGAAAGAATACAATAGACTAGCAATCTAAGAGCCTTTTGTATTTAAAAAAAGTTAAATATTTTAATAAAATAAAATCTTAATACACCATTAACTTTACGCATGAAAATACTTAATTAAAGGGGATTCAAAAGGTTAAAGGAGACTCAAAAGTGTGACGACCTACAGCTTTTTAAGCACAAAAATGTGATCTGGGGGACAAGCTTATGTCAGGGCATTCTTAAAACTTGGGAATATTTTCCAGAGAGAAGAATAGTAAGTTTTTAGTCCAATTCTAAAACAAAAATTCATAAACAATTTGATACAAATATGACACATACACTTAATACAGTACACAGCCGCTTACCCAACAGACAACTAAAAAAATGGACAGAAAGCTTCATGAAAAAAAACAACACTTGATAACCCACTGGTAGATTAAACAGACCATTTTCTTAAGACACAAAGTTTAGTTTTTAATGAAGAAAAGAAGAGATTCCAACTAATTTAGTTAACTTTTGTTTATTGTAGTTCAAATATTACGTGGTTATGACGAAATATAAAACATTAACTAATCCTATTGATAGAATAATACTTTAAAATTTTAATACTGTATTAAGTATAGATTTTTAAAAATGCCATTATATGAAAATGAAGGGGGGGGGGGGGGGGGGGAAGTAAATTTTAAGCTTAAAACTAAAAACACCATATGTTTACACTTGAGATCACAACACTCTTTCATTACCCCTTACCCAATAGGACAGTAGCCTAAACCTGAAGGGGTTTTACTGTAAACAGTTATTTGACATGATTTAATGACAACACATTTTACAGCCCTTAAGTAAACAAGAACACAGAAAAATAAGTCAATGAATTTAATACAAAGAATACAACAGGTTGACTTGAGACATTTAAACCTCATCGTGAGTCATTTAGTAATTTGTTTAAAAAATGTGACCCTCAAATATTGCACTTAACAGATACAAATATTTAAGAATGAATATTTGTTTGAATAAGTGATAAAACTTATCTTTCAATCTAATCAAATGTAACTTGTATAAACTTAGTTATTTTATAAATCATGATTATATTGAGTATTCTTGTCTATTTTATAAACAGATTTTCTTGTACATTCTGTTAGAAATTGGCCTAAGTAATCCTGATTAAGACAATTGGAGTACAGTTATTATTTATACAAAACTAGCCTTTAACTTTAAACATCATCAATCAACAAAAACCACTAGTGTTATCTGGAAATATCAAAGTAGAAAATTAAATTCAAAGAATGAAAAATTCTGACACATTTAGGGACTAGTATTAATAGAAACCCATATAAAATAACATTAACACTACAGCCAGTATCCAACAGTGCTATTTACATCACCATTAAATATTTTAAAATTTGGCTTTAAAAATGTGTTTTATCTAAATAAATAAAATAGTATAAATACTTTGGTATGCAATGCTGCTTGTAATATTTTTTCTGTATGTAAATAAAAATTTCAGCAGTTTTCCTCTTTTAAGAAAAAAACCTAATGGTTTTTTAAATTAGCCTTACTGAAAAAATTAGCAATCACTTCAAAAACTATTCTTTCACTAATTAGTTGAATAATATGTTTATTTGTTGTTTTAAAATGGCTACTTAATAAGCCTTCATATGCTAAATACATAACTGTAAATAAAAAAATGTAGCACCTGAATGATATTAGTAAATCATGTTTAAAATATCTTTTTAATGTTAATTTTTCATACGTTTTTATAATAGCTTAATTAAATTCACTAATATTAGAAAATAAAGACCAGCTTTTAAAAATCTTAAATTCTTTAAAACTAAAATGGATGAAACACACATATAAACATGAGATCATGGGTACACAAATATATATATATTTATAAATGAGTCATTTTAAAAATAAACTGCTATGGCATTTTAGAAAAAATTCAGTAGCTTGCTTTGAGCTTTTAAACACAAGTAGTTTATAACAAAGTTAAAGCTTATTCTTATTCATTTGCTCATTTAAATTTTGATTTAATGCTCCTCCTCTTTTAAACCAAGACAGCTACTTTTACTATTTGTTAGTAAAAAGCAAACCAAGTTTAACATGGGTAAAAAAGGAAAGCAGTTAAATAAAATTAAAAGATCCATACATACACAGTGATTAACATGTCTATAAAAGCTAAGTTTAAACTAACAGTAACTTATTAACTCATAGTTATCATGCTAAATGTAAAATTGTCATGCTAAATGTAAATTTCTTAATTACAACATGATATGCAATATAAATTTTCTCGTTAAAAGAAAGCAACTTGAACAATGATGGCACCAATTTTGATATGGATCACTGAATCCTAACAACAATAAATCAAAGATGCTAGAAACAGCACAAAACAAAGATTTGTGTTTTTAGAAGGTGTACAGCCAGTTTACAACATAGAAAAACAGCAGAAAAATACCTTTACATTAAAATAAAACCATTTTCTATTAATTATTAAAATGTTCATATTAAAAAAATAATACAATACATACAACTTTTAACTAAGATAAATTTAATGATACCAATCAAAAGTTTTATGAAAAACAACTACTTTAAAAATAATTTTCTATTATTTATCATGTAAATAAATGAATGTTATTTATAATAATGCCAGTAAGTAAAAAATACTTAAAATACAACAGTATCAGAAATGTTTTTGGCATTGGGTAACAAAACAAATATGACATAGTGTTTAAGTTTTTTTTAAATGATGGTGAATCTTGGCTTTAGATTTTCTAATGTTTGCAACTTGTGTCATGAAAATACTGATATAAATTAAGAGTTTTTTTGTGATTTTTAAAATGTTAATATATTTTTAAAAATGTATTTAAAAAAAATGGTTATATGTTGATTAGTTTGATATCAACCAACAATATCCAACCAATACATAATCACAGTATTAAAATAAAATTGTAGAAAATAACCAATACAACCTTTTAAATTTAAAGATTTGAAATTAGAAACCTATACACATAGCTAAACAACATCAAGAAAATTCAACTAAAAAAAATGGAATGGAATTCTATAAACATAACAGGATAGAACAGAGCAAATAAAAACAGCAGCAAAATCCACATAAACATAAAATAAAGCCAAGACTAGAATGCTTAGACAATAAATAAAAATTATTTACAAGATATGCCTCGTTGTTTAACAACTGTACATAATTATCAAACACATTTTTTTTAATCGTCATAGTTTCAATGCATTTGGTATAATACATAATATCAATACTTTGGCTGATCCGATTTTTTTACATATCTATAATTGTTTAAAAGCAGTGCTAATACTGCTGTCATTCCAGTCTCAAGTAGTAGAAAATAGTTGAGCACTTATAGTTTTAAAAACATTTTTTCATTTCCATTTACTTCAATCTCACAACAAAAAATTGGACCCTTGGATTTTAGTTCTCAGCTTATAGTAAAAACAATGACCGTAAAACAAAAATTCAGTTTTAATTATTCTTTTTAAAACTTGGGGCACACATATAATAAAAGAATAAATACATTTACAAGATTATTTTCCCCTTAGAACAAGTAATTAAAAAATTCTAACCATGAGCAATATTATCACATACAAAACTACCTCTAATTAGGCATCATACTAAATTATAGCATGCAAAAAAAAAGTTTTAAAATGGGTGAAAAGGATACAATTAAAAGAAAGAACAGTTTAAAAATTTATAAATTAAGTCAGTTAACTGGCACCAAAAGAAATGACCTGTTAACAATAATGTTGGCTTGCCATATAAAAAAAAATGAGAAAAGAAAATGGACTTTTGCCACAGTACCTGCTCTACCCAAACATGGTGCTGGCAAATGTCATAATTTATCATTTTAATCACATAAAATTGAGCAACTTAAGAATTAATGAGATCTGTTAGTAAATGCATTACTTTAACTAATCCACCACTACATAATGCTATTCACATATACATGTTTACATTTTATGTATTAGGGTAAAAAAAAAGTTTTCTGATTTTCTTGTGAAATTCTAGCAGTCATTTTTTTCTTTGTGTTGGATAATTACATCAAACACATTTTTAGACGATTGTCAAAGTAGTGACCCTATAGGGCAACAGAAAAATAGAATGAATAAAAAATAATAAATACTGCACTATATGGCAGTGAATGAGTGGTTTTTAAAGAAAATCAGAATAACTGTTAAAATTTTCAAAATTTGCTGCAAAGTTGTAGAAGAATAAGGACGTAATAAGTAACCATAAGCTTCTGTAAAATATAGCTACTGTTTACAATAGGGACATTTAGTTAATTTTAAAAAATGTAACTTAATATTTTTTTTGGCAGTGAAAAAGTTTAAAAACTGATATATTAGTGTAAAATTTCAACGTAATTGTGTTTTAACAAGTACAGCTCTCAAATGAAACATGACTGAACACATCTGTTAAAAGCAGGTAAAAAAAAGGTGTCAAAAATATTTAAATGTTAAGATAACTCGCTTGCTTTGTATCCTTTCCATTTGTCCTGGATTGGAAATGCGTGAAGTTTGAGCCGTTGTGTTGAGTGCTAATTCTTGACATAGTTTGGGAGAAATATGGAACCCTCCCCTGACAATACTGAGGTGGATTATAACTAGAGGATGAATGCTGCATTTGACTGCTGGGCGAAGGTGGGAAGTTGTGGGAAGATTTGATGCTGGTGAATGTTCCCTTCTTGACAGTTGTATCACCCAAACTTAAGTACTGTGGAGAAGACTGACATGAATCAGAACCATTTATTTCATAAGTGACTTTTTGAGCTACTGGTCCATTCACAGCAACTACACCATACTCACTAGCATCATACGGCACCTCCTGTTTTAAATCCAAGTCTAAATTACTTAGCCCAAAAGTAGGTTGAGATGGTGGTAGACACAGGTCAGATTTGTAATTGTAAATCTGAGGGGTGTATGGCAGTGAAGACTCGTCTCCCGAGCCAGAGGCTTCAGTATCAATACTGTTGTCTCCCCTTAACAGCCTCTTACACTTCTGCTTTCCATTTCCCCAGTTCTCCATTGGAATGTCCTTTCCTTCAGCACTAGCAGCAAGAGCTTCTAGATATTCAGCCTGCATCTGTATCTGCTCTAGTGTCATTTCCTTTGGAGAGTCTCCCAGTGACATTCTTGAATCATCATCTTCATCTGTGACATCATCTTTGACTTCAGATTTAGGTTTGTGGTCCACAACAGGGAATACAACCTCAGATTCATCCAGTGTTGGCAGGTCTCCGTTGAGATGATCTCGCAACTTCTTTAAAGCTAAATAAAAGGGCACCTTATCTGCAGCCCTTGGTAGCTGGGCACATCTGGCACTTGATGATGGCATAACAAACAGAATCTGTAGGAAACAATCAGTTTTTTTTTCTCAAATAAAGTTTTAACTTCTAAATTTAAAATTTTAGATAAAGAAACTTTAAAAAATGAAATATGTTAAAAATCAAAAGCCTAGAAGTTTTTGGCTATTTCTATGTCCCCTCATTGCTTAAATATGTACAGAACAAAAAACATACAGAATGAAAAACGAAAAACTCTTTTTTGAAAAACAGTAAAAGAAAAATATCTGTACTGGCCAGTCTACCAGTCTATTGGCACATATACAAATGAAAATAAACCGGGAGTGATCTCCCCTAAACTTTCTCGAATATTCTTATAAAAAATAACAGGGGATGGGAACTCGGGCTATAGACATGATTTTTAATCCATTTTAAATACTTAAAGTTTTAAAAATAGAATAAAATCTCGTAGACAATTAATTGCACACCAAGTGAACGCCTTATAAAAAAGCGCATAATAGTGCGCAATATTATTAGTACTTTTAAAATTTACATTAGTTTTTTGAGAAATCGGAAGTAGCGTAAAGTACTACTTCCAGTCAACGGAAATTACTCAAAATTTAACAGAAGGTAGAGAATCAGATCTTTTACTTACATGTGAAATTTCATTTATCTATCTGAAATAGTACTCAAGTTATAGGCTTTTGAAAAATTCAAAGTAGGAAAAGTACCACTTCCGGTTATCGGAAATCGCTCAAAAGTTGATACGGATCTACGATTTTGATAAAATACTTATATATAAAATTTCATTAACCTAGCTGTAACGGTACTCAAGTTATCGTGTTTACACACGGACAGACAGACACACAGACACACAGACAGACACACAGACATACGGACAAGATTGCAAAATTATGTTTTTCCGTATCAGTGAGGTGTAAAACGTCGAGATTTGTAAAAATCTCGATTTTTTTTTTTGCACGATTACAATACTTTCTCTATACTTCGTATATACGAGAAAGTAAAAATTAGCCCAAATAAGAAAATATAAGTTTAAATATTTCATTATGTTTTCAAAATACTTACAGTATCAGTACCCTCTACTTTTTCTGGCTGTTTTCCAATATTGAAATTTTTGTTGCCACTGAATACTTCATAAATTCCTAACAACAAAATAAAGAAGAAAAATTGACTAAACTAAAAAGATAGAGCATTACAAAGACTGCATTTTCTTTTTTACATAAATCAATAGTTTATAGTTTCAAAAATTACCTTTTCCATTAAATACAGCAATTTTAGGCCTATACAATGCAATCTTTTTCCTCAAGATATCTGCTCCATCTCTAATTTCTTGTCTACAGATAAAAACACAACATTGATCAGCTAACTTAAAAATAATAAAATTCCAAAAAATATATTTTTCATAAACCAAAGTTTCTAATGCATACAACAAAGCTGAACATTTTGCATATTCACTGCACACTAATATAGAGACAAAAAGTATAAGAACAATGATCAAATCCATACTTTTTTAAGTCTGCGCTTCCTCTGGTTGTCCTTGCACATATATTTGTAAAGCCTATACCATATGTAAGAAGCTTATAGTCATCATATGCATTCATTGGTTCAGGAATCAACCCAGACAGATACAAACATTTCCCTGAAAACAAATGCCCCAAGATAAAATGGTAATTAATGATATCCTTACTAAACATATAGAATTGAGGTAGATATAAAATGTAGAAATGTTTCATCAAACAAATATATATTAGAGATGATTTCTAGTTAGTAATTAGCATAGAATGATGATGGCCTACGGAAAAAGGGAAATTTTAATGCTCATTCTTAATCATGGACAGAAGAACCTTTTTAAAAATGTTTTATGATGAAGTTTAGAATTTTTTTTTACCTAACTAGGGAAGCTTTTCACATAAACTGGCTTTTTTAATGTCTCAATAAAATATGGAGAATAAGACTATCTTTTTAGACTACACTATTGATTCTTAAGCCCTGGTCACAGAAACAGGTGCATTCTATTTGCCTTATTAGCCATCAGGTTTCAAAGGGTTACTTTTTTAATCAGTATACAATGAAAAGACAAAATCAATGATGATAGAAAAAGATGTGCTTTCCATTGTATGTTTATGATAAAACGAACAACCTTTTATTATGTAAATAATTTTCTACATGAGCATGATTTAAAATGTAAAAGTATGCAGATAACACCCCAAAAAAGAAACAGTACATATTTTTGTTTAGTTACTTTAGAATGATTCAAGATACAGATTTTTTTTACTGCACTTACAAAAGTGATTTCCAGGTCCAGCATAATGATGCCCCACATATGCAGCAAATAGCCCTGGGTTAATGCCAATCTAGAAAGTAAATATTACAATATAAAACTCTTCAAATTTAGGAAAAACAACAAGAAAACAAAATAATTTCAAAGGAAACAATGCCAATTACAATTTTTAAATGGACTTTCCTTTACTGCTTTTAAGATGAAGACCTAACTAAGGTCACAGCTGTAACAACAGCATCACATTCTTAAAAATTGGTCGTATAAAATAATGAATTAAAATTAAATGTTTGAAATGTATAAATTTATAATTAATATTTTAAGTTATCCACATAAATCCCTTGCTAAACGTAATTTCCTGCTGACCTCTACTAAAATTATAATTTATCCTATTGCCATTCTACAATTTTTAAGTTTTTAAAGATTTCTTATATGTTAAACAAATAAAACATACAATGAGAATATCCAGGTTTGGAGCTATATGATCAGGTAACAATTTTAGTAAGACTTCCTCTTCTGGCATGCCATTAAATCTATCCCTCTTCTTTTTAACTACATTTAGGTGATCTGTCATTGATTCTTGCTTGACTTTCTTTTCCCCTGATTTGCCATCAGCTTCACCACTGCTTAATACAAAGATTTCATTCAACATAAATGTACAGTACAGAAAACAAATCTAAGGGTTCAAATATTATAATTGTATTTTAAAATATTATCCAAGATAAGCTGCTTTTTTTAAAAATCAAAATCACTACATTAAAAGCATTAAAAGTTGACCTCTGTAAATGTGCTTACTTTTCATCTTTTATTTTTTTAGGTCGACCTCTTTTCTTAGGTTCTTTGGGTATTGAAAGTGGTGGGCCACTTGATGACTGTGAATAATTATCCTCTTCAGTTTCAATCTTGATTTGAGATGCTTGTATATCAGCATTAAAGCTATAAAAAATATTTTCAATATATTTCATCATACACTATGACATAAAAAAAGAAGTAAAATCTTATAGAGAATTTTTCAGACCAAAGTTTAATTTTTTTAAATTATGTTTTTCTTACTATGAAGAGACTGCTAAGTGATTACTGTTATTCCAGTGATAATCTTGATATTCTGTACTTGGATCCCAGGGTTCTTGTTTCATTGGATTCATTTTACTCCTAATTGTAAAATAATATTTAAAAATAAATAAATGAGCCTATCAATGAAAAAATAGATTATGGCTGCCTGATTAACTTCCTGATTCTACCAGTAAATGTAATAATCAGCTTGGGGGGGGGGGGGGGGGGGGGAAGAGAGAGTTGTGGGCTGTAGACTAAATTCTGTTTCTACTAAGTTCTATTTTTAGTAGCCTGTATTAAAGTTTTTTTGTTAGATGTTGAATAAATGTCCATTCATAATGTATAGGAATAGCATTTACTCTTAGCTGTATTTTTTGGCCTAGAGAAAATAAATATCTTGTCAAAATTAAATATTACAGTATTTTTAAGTATTATTGCGTAATTCTTGATGCCTATTTTTAAGCTCATAACCCAAACTTAATATGACTGTCCTATGTTCTCCATAGTCACTACATTAAAATAAATAATAGAGATTTGATGAGACTGGTAGATTTAGTGTTTTCATTCATTCTAGTGGTCTTCCAGGTGAAACTAATGCAGGCCCAATAATTGTTACTTGTTAGGGTCAAAAGTAATTTCTGTGTGGCTAGACATGCTAGTAATTATATCAACAGCAAATCTGGTAGGTGCCTTTACCTGTTTAACATTTAGTGAGAACTGCTACTAGATCTAGATCAATAACTAAAGTAAGCAAGGCCAAGTGAGGCTGATAAGCAGCTTAGACTTACCAATAATCTTAATGTATCTCTTTTACTCTAGATTTAGAATAAGTTGAGCAAATTGAGCTGTTAATTTTCAATTATAAACTTTGGTTTGCAGAACTACTACAATTCTAACAGTAGTCTTACAGGATGAGCCCCTGTTCTTTTATACAGTAATGTAGACTTGCCTAGACTTGTTAGTTGTACAATGTGAGTGTAGATTTATATCTGTAATCTGTATGATTACTCAGAAATAGAACTACAGATTCCATAGAATTTGAAATACAGTTTCAGTCAGAACTGGACTAGATTTCTAAATCTAGATCTAGAGTAGATCTTCTACTTCTAGTGATGATGATAGTTGATAGGCCAAAGCCAAAGGAAGGTAAAGTCAACTCCCAGACTACTCACTCTCAATGACACTACGTAGAGAGCTAGATCTAGATCTGAGTTGGATAATGAGTAGACCTATAAGTCTGTTTAAGAGTAGGTTGAAGTCAGTTTGTTTAAGACTTTGAGTGAAAATAATATTCCTCTTTGAACTCTTTGAAAAAAAAAAACAGGAGCAAGCAAGCTTCAACTTCACGCCACCTCTCTAACATAAAATTAGAATCTAGATCTAGAATCTAATACTTAGACAATAAATACAATTGAGTGAGATGTCTAACAAATGCATGACTAGTTTCAACTTAAAACTTGATTTAGGTAAATTTACAATTAAATTTAGATCTAGTTTCGACAATACAATTCAGAATATCGATATTTTTCTATCACAATTCATCTACTAGACTCTCTTTGTGCAGTGTTTATCATTTTTGAACTACTTCCTTTCAATTCTGTTAAATAAGCGGCTATTGGTAGATAGCTTTTTAACAAGCCAATCAACAAACATTTCATATTTTAAGGGCATCTCTTGCAAGTTTGCAAGTTTTAGTTTTTTATTCAATGCCGACGAAAAAATTGAAAAATTGATGCTTTCGTTATATAGTCCGTTATTATAGATCTCCATACGCGTTATAATATAGTCTAGTTTTCCAAGCTGAAAATCAAACAAAACTTTTAAAATTAATCAATAATAAAACATCAATGGCGAAGATGAATCCAATACTCAAGTGTATGAATTATATGCATGCATGGGTAGATAGGGGCTGGGAGAGCCAAATAACAGTATGGTCAACGATTCAAACTAAACATCTGATCAGAAAACGACCTTATCATTTTCCAATGCTAGGAATTCATTAAAGCCACTTGAACATCTCCCGACAACAGAAGAAACTGAAACAATCAAATCTAGTATACTATATTCAACTATATTGCCATTACCAAAAAGCGAAGACGATCCATTATCATTAGTGCTCATTTAAATTTAGGGGTCGTCCATAAATGGCGTCACACTCGTAGGTGGGGGGGGGGGGGGTGTCCGTAATTTTGTGACGGTTTGTGATGAGGGGGAGGGGGTATTAAACTATTTTTTCTTATATTGTACGAATCACCATTATAGATTGCGAAGTGAATTTAATAAAGTAATACCAATTTTATGATATTCACCCATCCCAAATACTCCACTGCCTACGCCCCTGATTACAACATTTGTTAACATATAATTATAAAGTTAAACCGCTTCCGAAAGATCAGCTAGTCAGAGTTTCTTCCAGGCAACTCTTCGGGAAAATTCTACCGCCCCCCCCCCCCCCCCCGAACGAAATGAAATTTATATAATTTATATAGAAAATATATATACTTTTAACAGTGTCCGCCCCCCCCCCCCCCGAAGATAGTCTACCGCCCCCCCCCCGAAAATTTCAAGTGCCCCCCCCCCCCCCCCCGGAGAAAAAAGTCTGGATGAAACACTGCAGCTAGTATATACACTAAACACCATTACTTGGTCAGTCCTATGCGCGTTTTAAGAAGGGACTTCCGCACGTAATAACACATCATAAGATTTATACATCTATTAGTATTAGATCTAGATGTAGGCTATTTGTACCAGCATCATACATAATGTCTCGGCACATAGCACAGATCCGACTATCTCTAAGGTCCTTAACACTTATCAAAAGGTATTAAGTTTTACAGATTTTTAATAGTTGTAGATTAGAAACAGGGCTTAAACAATTTAATTATTAAATCATTGCTAATTATGAATTTGAGGTAAGGAATGGTTTTGCAGCATGACCAATGAAGAAAAGTGTCAATGTCACTGTTAGCAAACTCTATCGCTAATCAAGGATTGAACAGACGGACAATACAAACAATGGGATTGTGCGATAAGGATTTGACGAGCGGGGGGAGAATTTCATTCACGTAACAAAACTCTCAGCCGCAAAATGAGCTTTTTAAGATCCTATTGGATCAGACAAAATTCTTCTTTAGCCTCCCCTCCCCTCCTAATGTCTTTTCCTCTTTGTTTCTTTTCATTACGCTATATGATCTGTAACATGCCGCTTTTGTCGTTATATGAGTCAACTATTGGAATTCAGAATTTAAGTCTCTGATTGTAAGTGTATCAAGGATATAGTATAACTATAATGTGGACGGTTGGATGGCAAGGTTTTAAAATAATTGACGATCAAGCTGGGTACCAGGCGGTAGGACGACGTCCCGCGTCTAGTGGGTGGGGAAGGAAAGCCCGGTGAGAGCCCACGGAAGTAGCGACCGATGTGTGGGAAACTCTGTCGGGGTTTGCCACACTGAGGCCTGCCTGGCTAATGGAAGTGAACCTTCTGAGCCGGTTCCCGTATAAGGAAGGAAGGAAGTACTACTTAGCAAGAGGGGTTTTAAGTTTAAGGCAACCGTATAATGTATTTGCTTACGAATAATTGAATTAGGAAAAGTTATACATAAAACTTCACACATAATTACTTTATATATACAGTTTGAATCGTGTGATTAAAAAAAAATTACAATACAGAAACAAATACAACTGATGTGGCACCTCTATTTAAATTTACTTATGAGCAAACTGAACTGCGTAGTGGTGGGGAAATTTTGACAAGGTCAACAACGTCATCACGATGAAGTAGTAGTATTCTTACAGTTTGGGCGATAGTGATTACGATTACAAATTATATAAAACAGTTACAACCCCCCTCCCCCATGGGCCCCTCTGTAAAAAAAATATTGTCATAATACCACTGCTACTTATTTAAATCTATTTCTGTAATATATATTTGTGTAATACATATTTGTGTAATATATATTTGTGTAATAGAACAGTCATCTAAAAACTGACGCTATGTTCACTCTGAGTTGGTTATCTTCCCCCCCCCCCCCACACACACCTCACCACCACAATTGTGTAGAGCGACATTAATGTCACACCTAGGTATACACTGGGTTGGATAATTGACCTAAAGTGACCGGACAGTGGTGAATAAAGTTGAACCCACCTCCACCCCCAACCCACCCCGAACTGATCTGTTAAGTACATGTAGAAAAACGTGTAATAATGTACCAAAGTACCATGCCGCCAGAAAATTAGCTTTTTAAACGTAAAACTGTGAATATTGTTTTTGCAATTACCATTAAAAAGGTGTGTGATCAATACAGTGATCTTACCCATACCTATCTCTATGTTAAAAAATGATCTTTAAAGAACACAAAGTAGCACTATAAGACCGATAATTAGTTAAAAGTAGGCTGTTATTCCGAATGTTTTTCTATGGTATCGAAAAGCGTGGTTTTATACCAACTCTGATTTTAAAAACTTTCATTATGCTGTAATACTTTAGCATTTTGGATGACGATATATTAAATTCTGAGGACTAGTTCCAAAAGCAAATTTGTTAAGCAAGTTACGAGGATGATAGTGGGCCAAAAAAATTCCGGAATTCCTTCCTGGATTTCACGGAAAAGCCAAAAAACCTCGAAAAAAATGCAGTTTTTGGCCCATATCTCGGCAACCAGAACACTTAGCGACTTGAAACATTTACCAATCGATTCCTGCCATAATTTAGAACAATATTGCCGAAGAAAGTTTTTAAAAATATTCTTTCGTTCGGTCACAAAAAACTTTTTAAACTTACATTATACATAATACACTACAGTACTATATAGCAATTTGGACCGAATTAGTAGGCATGTTTATCCAACCACACCACACGCGTCATCACGTTCAATAGCTGCGCCATCATGTTCATAAGGCGCGCAATGGTTTTTAGTCATATAACTCTACTGTTTTTAAAAAATGTGAAAAAATGATTAGGCCTAGCGAAACAAAACCTTGTAATTGTAACTCCCTATCACTCTCATATAAATTATAAATAAATTAATAGGGTACAAAAATAAGGAAATTGCGCTTAAATTGTCACTAGACTTTTTAATTAACTTGTTTTTATTTCTTCAGAGTGCTACTTTCAATGTATTGTACATCATAGCGAAGTAATGACATACAGCTAGTAATTATATATATATATATATATATATATATATATATATATATATATATATATATATATATATATATAATACACGTATATAGAACGTGTTAAAAAAATTCGGCGCCTTTTTTTGCTCTTTTCGCTCCCCCTACAACGAAAACCTGGATACGCCTCTGGTACCACTGTTAGGGCATGACTGACCGCGCTGTAGGGTATGTTCTACGCATTAGTATATAGATACAACTCATCAGTACTATTCAATTCTTATATTATTCAAAATGCAATATTTGTGAACGACTACAATACTTTTTTACACTCTGTAGACAAGAAAGTAAAATGTCATTTTTACTTTCTCGTATGGAAAGTATTGTAATCGTGCAAAACATTACATAATTTTGAAATCTTGTTCGCGCGCGCGCGCGTGTCTGTAAACACGATAACTTGAGTACCGTTACAGCTAGGTTGATGAAATTTCATATATAAGTATAATATCAGTTGTAGATCCTTATCAACTTTTCGGCGATTTCCGATAACCGGAAGTGAAACTTTTTCTACTTTGAATTTTTCAAAAGCCTATAACCTGAGTACTATTTCAGATAGATAAATGAAATTTCACTTGTAAGTAAAAAATCTAATTCTCTGCCTTCTTTCAAATTTTTAGTAATTTCCGTTCACCGGAAGTATTAATTTACGCCATTTCCGGTTTCTAAAAAAACGCATGTGAATTTATAAAGTACTTATAATATTCCCCACTATTATACACGTTGCCTATCCGACAATTTTAGGGCAGAAAAAGAAGCTTTAGAACATGCAGCAAACCTCCTGTCAGAACACCCTGAATCACCGAATAGTCAGATTGTATTTCTTACAGATGCCAAATCAGTCCTGCAATCCCTACAAAATCCAGAGTCCTATATTCAAACACTTATGACAGCACTAGAGAGGCTAAAAAATACCTGCAGCAGAATTGTGCTGCAGTGGATCCCGGGCCACTGCCAGATCCAGGGTAACGAGATCGCAGACCAGCTGGCAAAAATTGGGGGAAAGAAACCACAACCGGAAATTTCGCTACACCCAAAAGAAATAAAAAGAATAATAAAAAACAAACAAACGCAAATGTGGTCTGTCACACACCCTCACTACATTAAAGACGACGGCTATTATAATTTAACACGAAAACAACAATACATAATCTTTCGTCTTAGAACAGGCCACAACAGACTAAATCAACACATGCACAGAAAACTGAAGGTTGGGTGTAGCGAAATGTGCCCTTGTGGCAAGGCCCCGGAAAACACGGAGCACGTACTCCAGGAATGTACTTTGTAAAGCCAAGCACGAGTCAGACACTGGCCCCAGCCCACCCCACTCAGGGAAAAATTATATGGGGCACCTGACAAACTGGAGACCACAGTCCGGTTTGTCCACGAAGTTGGACTTGTCTGAATCCTCCACCATATTCACAATTAAGAACGAAGAAGAAGAAGAAGATACACGTTTTATTTGGCGTTAACTTGGTGCGCAGTTCTTTTTCTACGGATTCTATTCTATTTTAAAAGGTTTAAGTAATTAAAAATGGATTAAAAATCATGTCTATATCCCGAGTTGCCATCCTCCGTAGTTTTATACATTTATAGAAGAATATTCGAGAAAGTTTAGGGGAGATCACTCGTGGTTTTTTTTATTTTTTATTATTATAAATTTTTAATATTCTAAATGGAGTTTATAAAACTGTTGATAAAATTATTTGAAAATTTAAAATAACGAGCCGACCCGCGGCTTATCATGCGCCGCTATTTAGTTGTTTTATTTTCCTAGTTAAGGACGATAACACCCCCCCCCCGGTTAAAGCAGCCTCCTCTTAGTTACCTCCCCTAAGTTTAAAATAGTTTCAAACTAAATTATCTGCCCCTAATAGCCGTCACTAAACCCGGCTCTACGATTGTAAATATTTAGCGTGAACCACTGCTCACCAGACCATGTGGGGGTGGGTGTGATAGCGTTATCCTAGGAGGCGCGCTTACAGCTTGGTGTTTTATATTGTCTCCAAGAAGAGAATTATATATATAGCCTATATAGATTATTTAGATAGCGTATTTTTTAATTCTTGAAATGTTATGCCTCATTCTGATACTTAAATGGGTTAGAAAACAAATTGAAAGTTTAAGGGGGGGGGCATGCACATCGAAAGTTTTAGGGGGGGGGGGGTGTGTGCAAATCGAAAGTTTGTCGTTTGTCCCCGGGCGCCGGGAAGGGTCGCTAAGCCTCTGCTTGTAGATCTATATTTTTGTACACATGGCATAATATGCATAATACTTGGCCGATGGAGATAAAATTTGGTATACGATGTCAGGACACGTACTAGATCTACATCATTTTCTATGCAAGGGAAAATTTGATGGACAAAACCCTTGTGTCGTGTCGGAAAGGGATATAGATCTACTCTGTGTTGACAGCTATTAACAACCATGAAGTTGTCTAAGGGAGACAATACAATACGGACAAAGGTTCTCTCTCCTCCTCCCCCCCCCCCCCCCCCCCCCAATGGTAGCTGGAAACATATTTAACATAACCAGGTCCGAATAGCCTAACTTGTTTAGTAAACGAATATCTAAACTAGATGGCTTATGACGTCATGTGAACCGGGATTTCGAATAGCTTTACGACTTTAACTATACGAATCCGGGTCCAAATAGCTTATACATTGTTAAAACCTGGCAAGAAAGTCCGCAAACTTTGACCTTATTTCTTAGAAGCTTGCCAATAAGTAAGCAGAACTGCTTAGTCATTAAAATCTTATCCTGCTATATCATTATTTAGATATCTAGACCTAGTTCTAAATCCGGCTTGTGTCCAGCCTTGTCAATATATAATAAAACCAAGGTACTTGTTCTCTCTTGAATTCATTTTCACTGTGATTAATGCTGGTTTAGATTGGGTAATTTTATTCTCTATTAATTTTGTTTCCATTATAATTCTGATTATTCATTATTCATAAAAATTAAAATTATTAGTTTAGCCATTAATAAATATTATAAAAATAATATTTAATAATCATTAAGAAAAGACATAAATTTCTATTATAAATTAAATTATTTGTTGAACAAACAATCTCAAAGCTAACAACAAGTTGTTAGCTTTGAGTAACAGTTCTAGGGGTAGGCCCATAGTAATACATAGTAATACGTTAATTACGCAGCCATACTAAATACTAGAGTAGTAGAGTAGATATAGAATCTAGATTAATTACTATTAATTAGTTAGATCTAGATAAGAAGATTCTAGATTAGTAGATTTAGATCTATCTAGACGTGGCCCATATGTTCAAAATATGTTGCCATATGACACACTTACTTACACTTTGTGAGTCTTACAGTGCAATTACATGACTACAGTTACATTACAGCAGCACTAACATACATTCTGTGCGATGAGTTACAACCAATCTATTCAATCTTACACTATCAGTAGTATCAGTACCATGACTAACATCATTGTCATAGCTTAGAAGAAGAATAGTTATAGACCTACTTTAAAAAAAGTGAAGTAGCCTACTATTAGTTAGATCTAGTACTAGTACCATAGCCCCAGAGGCGTAGCAAGGGGGGGGGGTGCAGACCGCACAGGGTGACACCATTAGGGGGGTGACACCAAGGCAAAACATAGTAAAATATATAGAGAAAAATTTGAGGGGGGAGTGCAAATCGAAAATTGAAAGTTTGTCCCCAGGAAGAGTTGCTACACCTCTGAGGGGGTGACACCATTAAGTGCCGCACTGGGTGACACCTGACCTCGCTACGCCACTGCATAGCCCTACTCCTTTTGAACCTGACAGCAGAGTTTCTTCTTCTATAGCATAAGCTATGATGGTTAACCTAACAAAAATACAAAGCCATCATTCTTTATTAATATCTAATCATACACAAGTTAATAACAATGTTGAATCTTCTCTACAGAAATTTGGTGACCTCTAAGTTATTGTATATCAGAATGCCATCCAGACTTGGTTATTGGGCCATTAGAGGGGTATGTTTTAGTTACATGATAATTTAACAGGTTTTTATTTAAAAACATATAGGGTTAGATAGAGGGTAATGTGGGGTTGACGATGGTTTTTTTTTTCAACATATATTGCTGCCGAAATACATTTTAAAAATTCCTTTATTTCAGCTTGCACAGCCTATTCGCCTTCTTCTCACTTACGTTGGTGAAGATTTTAATGATGATCGTTATGTGCAAGGAGATGGTAAATCAAGTCTTATTTTTTTAAACATTACTAACTAACAATGCAGCTTTCCATTTGTATTACCTTTGAACTTATAACTAAGCTTTTATGGTTTGTTTTGTTTTTTTGCAGAATATTTACTTTTATAATAGAGTAAATTTAATTTTCCCATTTCATCTGTAAATTTGCAGGTCCAACATTCAGCAGAGATGAATGGATGAAAGTTAAGAACACCCTTGGGTTAGATTTTCCTAATGTAAGCAGCTGCATGCAATAATATTGCATTTTTCTAGTTAAAAGTAATGTATCCAAATGAAGAGTCATTTTCCAAAATTTGTTGAGTGACAAAAATTAAAATAATTAAACTGTCTTCCTCATTAGGATAAGCTAAAGGTTTTTACAAAAAAAATTGTGACAATGTCTTTGGAAGTCTTGTAAATATTGACAAATTCAAAAGTGCTCCAATAAATTAAGAATGACTTGTATAAACCAAAGTATAATTATTGTCAGAAAAATATTATAAGCTCTATTTAAAGTATTGATTCTCAAGGAAGAGATAAAAGGTTTAATTTTAGATAAACGAAGAACAATATAAGTTTAACAGAATTTATTTAAGATAGAGAGCATATCTTTTCAAACTTCATTTGTCTGTTTGGTAATTGTTGTTAATGGTATACTGGTGTACTGAATGGGTACTAGAGTATGTGTGTTGTGGAATGTTTATATCAATAGAAGATTTTGAATGTGATGAGGCATGTAAGGATGTGACGTCGGAGAGTATGATTTTTTTGTTAGGGGAAGTTGAAATTAGTCTTCGTCTTGTTGTGTTAGTGGATATGTTTTATGTAACTGTAATTAACCTATGAAATGAACCACCACCGTCCTGTCTTGATTTGTAATTGTATTGGATCGTCATACGTTGTTCTTCAACTTCCAGCATCAACCCTGTCCTCATCTTGCATCGTAATGACAGATACAAAAGTAGAAAAAAAATAACTTTGAAATTGTTAATGTTGCATTTTTTTTAACCAATTCAACTCCAGGCTTATCTGATTTATATAATGAATTATATTTTTTTCACAGCTCCCATACTACATAGATGATGAGGTTAAACTAACTCAGTCTAACACTATTTTGCGTTATCTTGGAAGAAAGTACAAACTTTGTATGTTATAATTTTTTTTTAACCTACAGTAAAATTTATTACTACAAGATTTCTTTCTTGCATGGCAAGAAGAAAAATTTGAAGTTATAAATTTAATTGTAATTATAGCTGTTAGAAAAATGTTATAAGCAAAGTGTTTAAAATTTTTATTAATATTGTCAATTAAAAGTAAAAATGACAAAATATGTATTTCATTTTTAAAAATAAAATAAATTTATCTTCTATCAATTATTTATTCTTTTTGTTCACCTTAATTCACTTCACAATTATTTAAAGTAACGTTCAAGCTTGAAAACATTTATTATATCCATAGATGGTGAAACTCCAAAAGAGAATGCTGAAGTAGATCTTTTACTTGATGTCATTATGGATGTCAGAAATGGATTTGTACGTCTTTGCTATGGACCTGAGATTGTAAGTTTTCTTCAATATCCTAAAAAAAAAACTTTACGGCAAACTAAAACTTTTACTTTTGAAAAACACTTTAAATTGTACTAATATAACCGAAAAAATAACTTGTCTGGTTAATTTTGTTTTAGACTGACGCTGTCCGTCAAGAGTATGTCCAGCAAGTTAAAGCAACTCTTGATTCACTTGAAAAGTTCTTAGGGGACAAAAAGTTTTTTGTTGGAGACAAGGTAAAGATTTTAATAATCTTGGATATTAACACCTTAACTTTATGTGACTTTTAGTTTTTGTACTCGAAGCCATTTGTTTTTTACAAATAACAATGCTGTATGAAAATAATACATTTTTATCATTTTACATCTAAAAAATTTTATTGGTGTGATTTACTTTGTTTTTTGTTCTGTAGGTAACAATCTGTGATTTCCACATTTATGAAATGTTTGATCAACACAAACTATTTGAACCTAGTCTGTTTGAAGGACGGAAGAGCCTCAATGAGTATTTGCACCGGTTTGAGGAACTGCCTAAGATTAAGGAGTATAGATCCTCTGACAAATGTATTGTACGTCCTATTAACAACAAGACTGCCAAATTTCGTTAATTCCTTAGCAGTGTATTACTGCATTTAAATTAGTTATTGAAGTGATTAATAACAATTTAAAATGTGTAAAGATGCATTTCCATAATTTTTTTTACTCTAAAGAAACGTGTTTTGATGTTTAATGTAGGCTTACACACATCTCCGGTCAGTACATGTGATAAAAATGTGCACTACATCTTAATTGTTAAAAACTTCACTACAGTAATTTTTGGTTAACAAGCTTTCTTGATCTTGTTTTTTTTTAATTGAGGTGATGATGAATATAATTTGATGTAAATCTACTTGTATCTAGTCTTGAAAACTGCTATTAGATTATATTAGTAGTCTGTTTTTCAATTAATGATGAAGTTTATTTTGTTTAGTTTATTACTTACTACACAGTAAGCTGCTAGTTTTAAGACACATGGCCTTTTTATACCTTTAGAAATAAAATCTATTGTTTACATTTGTTATGGATTGTTAAAGATTAAGTTTTATATTTAACATTTTATTTTAAAAAGTTAAAAATTTATGTACTTAAAAAGTTAATAATGAATTAGTTTAACTTCTATCATTAGATTCCTAAAATATTAACTGGTCTGTATTTTGATCATTACAATAAAGTAAAATGTAAATCTCATAAAAAATGTTACAGCTAATTATTTTTTTCATATTTAAATTGTTATTGGCTGTTTATGTCCAAAGGTATTTTTTCTTAATTTCTTTGTTTTTGATGCAAACAACAAATTTTTGCTAAACTAGAGATATAACTATTTAGACTAAACTTCTATTCTACACACATTCCTGAGACACTGCCTTTAAGTTTAAGGGGGATTAAAAGTTTATCTTCCTACCATTATTTGTTTTTGTTTTTTTTATTTTGTTTATAGAATATGAAGGATGTATTGTAATCCTGCAAAAAATCTAAATTGAGATTTTGACAAACAAAAGTGCTACTTGCTCTACTCCTGGCTTCTCACAAGCCAATAACTTGAGCCCAGTTTAAGTTAGGTGGATGAAATTTCATGGATAAGAATTACATTATATTATATGTGCAGGTTTCTTTCACCATAGTACTTGTAACTGTCTTTAGCTTGTGAGGTAACTAATACTATCTGTTTTATTACTAATTTCACCTTGTGAACAATTTTCGGTAACCGGAAGTAGTACTTTACTCTATTTCTGGTTTCTAAATTACCAATAAATTGAGTACCTTTTCAGTTATGTGGATGAAATTTTATATATAGGTATAAGTTTTTATTCTCTTGATTCTGACAAATTTTGAATGATTTGCGCTGATCGGAAGGAAGTATATATAAATAAATCAACATTTTTCTTCAGCTTGCGTTTTACTTTAGCAACAAGTAGATGATGGTCTGAAGCAACATGAGCTCCTTGACGCGTACATCTTAAGTGATCTCCTGAACTTTTTTAAGAAACATATAAATATTTGGTCTATTTGATTTTCTGTAGACAAGTCAGGTGATATCCAAGTAGCCTTATGTCTCCTTTTGTGATGAAAGAGACTACCTCCAATTACTAAGTTACTTGCGTCTAATTTCTGCAGCTACTTGGGCTGCTTTTCCAGCTTCATACATTGTACGGACATTACAAGATCCAATATTGATGGCGGACAAGGTGGAAATAATGGTCGGTAGTTTCCAAATACATATTGGCTTTCACCACTCGGCTTCATAAATTCTCCATAGGGAGATCCATTCTGTATTTCTCTCTGCGTTTCTGTAGCGAGTTGTTTTTTACAATATATGATATAAGGTTGCTGACCTTATGTTCAACCCCCAACCTGAAGGACCAGGGTGCTAGATTTCGCCTGACCCTACCCTGCGCAGATCTTCCTAGCTTGGTTCCACAAGACAAGAGTTTACACACCTGCTGGTATAGCTCTGGGGGTCGTCAGGGTACACAAGCTGCCAAGCCACGGCAAGACTAACACCAGATGGTAGACTTAGTCTTGTAGGGTGTTAATATAGTGTATGGTTATGCTATTTTAGTAACAACGCAACCATACAAAACCCCAATACGTTACCATCATCTAAAAAGAATCAACATGTCTCTCTTTATAACGCACTGATGTGGAGTAAGAAGCCATAGTTGAATGACTCAATGAGAAGTTTTATAAAGGGCTGGTAACCCCGTCCTGGACAGTTGCAGTACTTTAAGGGGATTACAGCTATGCGTTACCCATTGTGTATTTGTACACGAATGGCCTAGTTTTCTAAAACAGTTATTTAAATGTAAAGAAAGTAGGTGCTTTATTTGTTGGATCTGAAATCTGAGTTGTTATGGCACTGATTTGTCCACGCTATTGCCCAGATGCCCCATTGCATGGTGTATGAAAGTCTAGAGTCTACGTTAGTCACCCTCCGTAATAATGAGGTAGACACTCTTCGCCGACGAGTGCCTGCGACCGCACATGTTACAGGGACGAATCATCGAATGTCATGTGCCACCGTGTCCCTATTCTATTGTGCTTTTTAAAATAAATGTTGGCGCCATAGTATCCGCGGGCGATTCTGTGACATTACATCCAGACTTTTTTCTGGGCGGACTAAAATTTCCGGGGGGGGGGGGGGGGGAGGGGGGCGGACGGCGGACACTGTTAAAAGTATATATTTTCTGTATAAATTCCATTTCGCTCGGGGGGAGGGGGGGGGGGACGGGACGGCGGGGAAGAAACTCTGTCTGGGTCACTATTTCCCTAAACAAATAGTTTAAAGCGGTGACAATAATAACAAGGGTCACAAGATTGTTTATTGATGTTTAGCCAAACAGAAACACATAGAGTTACTGACAATGATGTTTTCTTTTATCACTCACTTAGTAACTGCAGTAGCACATGTTTTAAATTGCACTGTTTTTGTTGTAGCAAACGCTAAAGGAAATTACATACTAATGTGTTACAAACTGGCATATTTTACAACATTTTTAGACTGCTGAAGTCTACTATGCTCAAAATTTAAAGCGCCTTACAATAATAATACTTACTTCGATACACTAGTCACTAGCTAGCTAGTGTAGTTAGTAGTTACTGTTAGGCCTAACTGTAACTAACTACATCTATCTACTAGATAACTAGAATATAGATTCTAAATCTAGTATCTATACTAGACTATTCTAGACTAACGAATTAAATGATGCCAAACAAATAACAATGTAAATTTTTTTAAAAAATAGGGCCTAATCTTTAAATTAGTAGTGTTAAGTGTAGCCGACTGTAGCCCTCTCTATTTTTAGCGCAATTTCTATACGGACAATTGCGATTATTAACTCGTCATTTCTGGATGGATGGATGTATGGATGGATAGATGTGTGTCCGCAGCTTTAAGTGGTATCTCCTCCTCAACGAAGCAATATCGAGGACTAGTTCCAAAAGCAAAAATGTTAAGCAAGTTCCAAGGATGATTGTGGGCCAAAAAAATTCCCGGAATTCCTATCTGGATTTCCCGGAAAAGCCAAAAAAACCTCGAACAAATGCAGTTTTTGCTCCATATCTCGGCAACCAGACCACTTAGCAACTTGAAACATTTACCAATCAATTCCTGCCATAATTTAGACCAATATTGCCGAAGAAAGTTTTCAAAAATATCCTTTCATTCGGTCACAAAAAATTAATTAAGAACATTTAAACTGAGTGTCGTGTAGGTTTTTAGCGCAAAGCTGAGGTTCGAAAGGATTTTACCATAGCGAATGAGCGGAGGTTCGAAAGGAATTTTTTTTTCGACTGATACGGGAGGCTAGCCTATCGCGACGTGGGATCGTTCGCTTCACTGCGCGCGGCAAGAGAGAGAGAGAGGCGAAACATAAGGAAATTGCGCTTAAATTGTCACTAGACTTTTTAATAACTTGTTTTACTATTATAGTATTATATTATTAGTAACTAATACTTATTACTATTACTCTAGTTACTAATCCTAGTTTATTTATTTAAGTTTAAATTGTTACAATAGTTTAGTTTAATAGTAGTTCAATCTAGATCTAGTTAATTCAAAAATGTTAATTCTAGTAGTAGATCAGTTATACATTTCATTGTACAAGTAGTTTGTGTAGGGCCTTGCGGTAGTACTAGGATAACTAGGTAGGGGAAAGTCATCTCAAAATTGGAAAAAGTCTCAGTGGGTAGGCACTAATTCTAATTTTATTTTGATAATAGAATATTAAGGTAAAAACGTACTTCAAGTACAAGTTGGAAACAATTTATTTTGTCTTTTTATTTTAATATAGACCTAGATCATTAAACTTTTTTATTCATAATACTAATTACTAAGAAGAAGAGCACAGTAACAGTAAGATTAAAAAATGTACAAAACAGTACTTTTGAGCACTATAAATTGCCAGGGTCCAAAAAAAAATTGTTCTTGTATCTTTGGCTTAAAGGCATCTTTTCTAGGATCTAGACAGAAAGGCCACAAATAACTCTTGTTTTTAAGTAGATGTAGGGTTGACCAATAGGCCTAGTTGTCAATAATTATTTAAGTTTTATAATAGTTTTGGGGCAAATTTTTTGTTTTGTTTTTCTGAACTGATCCTTCTTCATTATGACCACAGCACCATAGTATGTTTAAATCAATATATATGTGTATCCTCTACAACACAACACTAGCACAGTTAAAAAGATAGCCTAACATTACATCAAACAGTGACAAAACACAAAAACTGACTTGAAATTTGGTCTAGTTTAATTCATCTAAATGTATTAATTTCAGGTTGAGATAGATTTGACTACACTCAGCATTAAACAGGAAATGGATAAAAAGCTGTTGTTAAGCTGCTCAAAACCACTGAAAATTTCATCAAAATGTTTCTACTGGAACAGACCCACAAATGAAAATATTTTTTTATATTGTTTTCATGGCAATAAAATGAACTATGTTTCATACTACCACTCAGGGAAAGTATTTTTGTCTACACATTTGAATGACAATACAGATAAAAAAGAAATAATTAATCAAGAGGAATCTTCTCTCACAATTAATTCAGAAATATTAATACCAACTCAGGGTAATAAAAAAGCAAAACCAAAAGATAAATATCCATTTGGTTTGATGAAGAATGTATTGTTACGCTATGCTAATATGAACTTGGAAAGAAAAATTGCTTCAGCGCATTTAAAATATTATAAAAGAAATTCACCATTCTGTATGAAAAATCAGTGCGACAGTTTGTTAAGTGATGAAAGTGCACCTGAGCCCATGTCTGTTAAAGAACTGTTTAATCATAACCTGCTTTTAAAATACCAGATGCCATCAAACAATCAAGGTAAGAAATTCAGTTGGTGGATATAATATGGCAGTAAGTAGATGAAAGTTACTTAATTCTAATTACTGGCCACACTAAAGTAGAGTTTAAAAAGAGTAATTTTCAGTTGACTAAAAGTAAATTTTTATTTATTCATTATATTTTGAAGTGGAGATAATATTTAATAATTCAAATTAATGCTTTTTTATTTTACCTAAAGCGAACAAATGAATACTAAAGTTAAGTATCTTGACATGTTATTCAATGGGGATACATCTAGTCCCTATAGTATATGTAGAGGGAATAAGTGCCTGTACCTTTACTTGTCTTAAGTCAGAGCAGGGTAAATGGTTTATGTACGGAAGTCCTATGAACTTTATAGACTGAATCAGTTTCTCTTAACTCTTAGAGATGTTAATTATTTTTCAGTTTGTTATTGTATTTTTTAAAAAAGTATTTTGTCTTTTTTCTATAGTAAAACGACTTTTGCTTGAATATCCAGAGCCAGTGAAGTTGTTCTTTGATGTAATGAAACCTTTAATTGAAGCAGACCCAAGTCTAACCTCACAGCTTATTGTATCCAGACATTTAAAGAATATTTATTGGAAAGCCCAGTTAAATTTAAGATGGCAGAACAGTATCTGTGTGACAGGTGTTAATTCAGACAGAGACCTAGCTATTGAACATGCATTTTTATTAGCTTGCGTCCAACTGCAGGTAAATTACTAAATTTTGCAAAATAAAAATAAAAACTAACCAGCAACTAGGCAGCTGGTGAAAGAGGTTCTAGTACATAACCGGTATTTCCTACATTATCTTTAATAACATAAACAAAAGTTACAGAGATGATACATGTGTTATAAATACAGAGCCATATCATGGTTAAACAGGATTTGAGACAACTTCACACTGGCACTGATTTAGCTTGCCTCTAATTGTAGGCTGACTATCATATTTCCATTTCCTCACAATATTTTATCTGTTAAAAGATTTTTTCCCCTATATATTAAAAAAAAAAATATAGAAATTTAAAATCTTTACTTAAATTCTGCAGAAGTTATGTAAGGTACCCTATCAGATCTGATGAGTTATAAGATGAGTTACATCTTTATTTGACCTCTGCACAGATTGTGTGGTCAGCACAATGCCTAGAAAGATTGTGTGGTCAGCACAATGTCCAGTCAATTTCTCCAGTGGACTCAGGGACATTTTATGGGCTTGAGCTTGGGAACCAAACTTAAGACTAACAGCAGCTGTGTGCTCCAACACTTAACCTTGCATTCCCATTTTGCTGATTAGCTGACAGCTCTCCACAACCCAACACCAGCTGGAAGTTTTGAGTTTGGATACCATGCATGTATTTGTAGCACCTCCCTGAGTCCATCCAGCTCTGATGGGAACATGACTGAGCATAGTGCTGACCACATTATCCCCCTAATCCCAAGAGCACATAAACAGCTGAATTCTACTTCACGCTACCCACACAAATTGTAATGCTGATAATTTAATTCTATATTAAAGACTGACCCTAAACCTAACCACAGTTTTATGAATATATAGCTTTGGCTAACCAATATGAGGAATACAAGAATATTTTTAAAATATTGTATGAAATGTTTTTTAAGAGTGCTATACATAGTTTTGAAATAATGACAAAAACCCACCTGAAGTTGTAACATTTAATTTACTTGTAATTTTTCTCTATTCAGTTTTTTGGGTTATTATCAAAAAGGAATAACGGCCTTTGGGGCCCTACAGAATGTGACAAAATTGCTTCTGTGTTAGAGCTTTTGGCAAAGTATGGAGAATCAACTCTAAGTGGTCCACATGGCAGAGGATTTAAGGTTATCATGGAAAAATGTCAAATAAAAAAAAGTCCTCCAAAAAATGATAACCTTGATACAACAGAGGCAATGGAATCTCAAATACAGAGCTTAAGACACAATCAAAATTTTCAGTCAGATAACGTTAACAAACATACTTATCCTATTAACATTGAGTTTTGCCATTATTTTTATCAATTATATAATACACATAAAACTTCCAAACATGTGTGGACGGATTTATTAAATTGTGTAAGTTTTGCACATTCAAATTCAAACAAAGTGGAAATAGGCAATAATTTCTTGAGCACTTCACTAGTAGGTCCAAAATGGAGTTGTACAGTTCATGTTGGGTGGCCAGTACCTTTCACTGTACAAGAGAAAGGTGTCTCATTACCTTCAGCACAAAAACTTGGGTACCTGGCAGTGGCCACCAAACTCAAGGTGAGATTTTAATATATTTTATGTAGCTAAACAACTATCAGTGTAAAGTGTTTGGTTTATTCTGAAAGGTTAGTGTGGGGTGCATTTAGTTATTCATTGGACTGGACAAGTCAACGTTTTTTTTTTTTACATGACTATACTATAATAAAACTGAAAACCAAAATGATTTTTTTTTACTGAGCAGTTATTGGGAAAATACAAAACACTTAAAATTACATTTTTTTGATGTAACAAGAATTACTACGTTGTTACATGAATTTTAAGCGTTTTTATAAGACGTGCTTACAGTGCAATGACATTTTAAAAATTAATATTTTTACCACTCACAGATGCTAAAGCTACTCAACCATGAAAACGAGATAAACTTTGCCAGCTTGACTCATCATTTTAACATTGACACAATACAGACATGGATAAAAAACAAGAATTCAATGAACTTAAAAATTGTGGAGTGTTTCACCCCAGAAGCAACAATATTTACAGATGCCTCTGTTACTGGTTTTGGTGCATACTTGATAATGGAGGAGAGAGACAAGGTAAATTATTTTAAAACTATTTTGATCAACTATTGGTCAGCGGAAAAATGTTTCCAATTTGTCATCGTTTTCAATTATAACAGATAGCGTAGTTCTCCATAACATTAACGATTGACTTTTTTCAAAATCAATCAGATTTCTTGGATGAGTGAAGACTGGGCGACTTTTGGTCATCTAAAAGATATTGTGCATCCAAATAACAGTATTGATACAACAATGGCGGAATTAATTGCCCTTGTTACAGCCATTTCTTCTTGGAAGTGCAGGCTAAGAGGAAAAAGGGTTTTATGTTTTTCAGATAATTCGGTAACCACATTTTTAAAAAATAGAAATGCAGTTTATTTCAGAAAATATTTCAATTTAATGTAATTTAATAATAGTTATTGAGTTAAGAAAATAAAGCAGAAAGTTAAGTTCCTTTTTCAAATCTAACGGTCTACAGTGCAAATGATGTAGAGTTAACCTGTTTCTGTGACATGGGACAATGTGGTCAGCATTATACCTAACCGCCTTTACTTTTCCTGACATGCATTAGGTACCCATCAGAGCTGGGTGGGCTCATGGAAGTTCTACTGACTCAAACTCGAGACTTTTGGGTCAGCAGTCTAGCACTATCGCTAAGCCATGTGGTCCCATTATTTTAGTAAAAGCCACATGTAAATAAATATTCTTTTTTTAAAGCTTTTAATGGTATGCGCTAACTTAAGATAATAAGATCTTATACCTTTGCACGAAATTTCTTTCATCTTAATGAAATGGTACTTGCATATTTTGGTATTTTAAACTGGAAATAAATTACTGCTTCCAGTTATTTGACATCACTCAAAACAAAAATTAACTAGTTAAAGATCTTGTAGATGAAATTTTGTCTAGCTAACTGAAATAGTATTAAATCTAGTGTTCACTCAGAAATAGAATGTACCACTTCCTGTTACCTAAAGGCTGTAAATTGTCAAAATTGATCAAAACTTGATTTAGATTTTTTGCACGGTTGCAATGGATCCTTTATATTCATAGGATAAAGTAGGGAGGTGTTAAACTGCAAAACTTGAAAGAATAAAAAAATTTGTGTTCCAGGCTGTGGTTACTCTGATTAACTCAGTGAGCTCATCAAGAATTGACCTGCAAGCAAGTGTCTGCACCATTGACCGTATCATTCATTCTTTGAAGTCCAACTGTGGAAAGTATGACATCTCTCTCCAAACATCATGGATTGACAGGGAAGATAATTTACTAGCTGACTTGTTATCACGCAGTCTTGTAAGCACTTTCAAAATGCATGTTCCAAAAGCAGAAGTAGCAAAATCAAAAATAAAACAAGTTATCTAAAAATGTGTTAATGATTCTGTTGTGAATGAAAATGCAGAAAAAAACAAGTGCTTTAAATACAATTTTTTATTAAATGTTGCACATGTGAATAAAAATTGATGAAAGCCCACAACTTTCAACAAAACTAAATCCTCTGAAACTGCAGCCATCATGTACAATCTTTTATAATATATGACATCCTTACATCAACTTTATTTTATACAATTAAAAAGCTATTTTTAGTGTGAGGTACAAAACACACTGATCCTCAAATACCTAAAGTACATGTGTGCAATAGTCCTAGATCAAATACAACACAATATTTTAGTTAAAAATCACACATTTATTAGCTTTTGCACTAATTTTAAAGGCTTGTTAAAATTTTAAAAGTAATGAATAATATACATTAGCACAAAATAATCTAATGAGAAGTTTACAGATGTGAAATAAAATGTCAGCAAGTAGCCAGTTTCAAGATTTAAGTGATTACGAATTTTTATTTAAAAAATAACTATTTTAATAACATTCACATTGTTCATATTAAATACAGAAATGTTGACATTTTTAAAATTGCGAAGAAAACTTGCATCATAATTTAAGCCTAATACTTAAAGAAATCTTTTCAAATATTAAAAAAAAAACTTCTGCTTAAAAAATGATGAAAACATTATTACCTCCTATATAAGTATATATTAAATCCTGTCAAATATAAAACTAGTCTTCATAGACAGCTATGTAAAAGGTTTTTTAGTAGCATCAATCTATACAGAAAACAGATCAAGATTTTAACTCTGCTCAATTCCATGTCAACTAATGTTATTGAAATAAAATTTAAAAAATATTTTGCTAAAGTTTTGTTTCGTATTTGGGAGAAGACATGCCCTTAAAAGCAAACAAGTCCATTTCAGGAATCCCATAAACTAAAACTATCCTATATACAGTCTTTTGTGGAGTAGCTTACTGAGGTCAAAAGAGGGACTGTTTTTGAATACTTTCTTATTGTGAAAAAGCAATAAAATATGTCCAAAAAGTTAACCTTTAGTAGATATTGGGGGAATGGAGGGCAAACAATCAATAGATCAAGCAGATGAAACAAGTAGAGAGCGATAACAAACATTTTTTGTAACTGATCAAGGAAATAGTCATAATTATTTACAATGTTTCATAAGTAAATATTACTAATGAGAATACCATTTTACAGTATACATAAAAAATTGCATATACTGCACTAACAATGATTTCATAGAACAGAGAGCTAGTTATCATTTGAACGGAGAGAAAATACAAAAAATAAATCTGTTTCATGAAATCAAAGAGCAGAAAATGAAATTATGCCACCATCAGGTTATGCCCACCCTTTATAAGAGCTTACAGGCAACACCGTCATACAACACTGGACATCAGTGTTTGACATAATACATTTCCAAAAACTTGAACCCCACTGCTCCATTTTCAACACTTTGATCACAGTACATCTTTTTTCCATTGCTATGTGGCATCTCTGCATTAAACTTGCATTGCAAACACATTTAATATCTAAATGCTGTTAAATATGCAAGGATACAACATAAGCAAGAAAAAAAAAATGTCACTGGTATATCAAAAGTAGAGAAAATGTAATGAGCAGTAGGGAATTAACCTCAGCAACCTGTAACTTCTGCACTCTCACCACTTCTTTTGGTCACATGAAGTGTGGTAAATGTCTGAAACAGTATTAACAAATATCATGAATACAGCATTACAATCAATACTTTTTAACACTGTCAACATAGTGATAATGTCTGTAGAAAAAGACCAGTCACCAATCCTAGTTTTGTTTACTTACATTATTTCTATATAGCCAAATGCATTATATTAATATATTGATCAGATTATCAAAATAGATGAGTGTTTGTTGTACATTTTCCATCTGCAGTTTATTATTGAATACCCATTTTATATTGGCAGAAGTTAAAATAAGAAATACATTTTTTCATGAACAGAAAATTCAATGCCCCTCTGTACTTAACTATATATGACTATTAAGGGGGCACTACACCGTACATACAAAAATTTACAAAAAAATTTTTTTTAAGAAAACAAACACATGTATTGCAGTTATAAAGATATTTTATATACTTTTAGACCAATGTGAATGTGTCTTCAGCGTTAGCCGATTAAAAAATACAGAAATAAATGATTTAGACATATCATGCTTCAATCTGTTTAACTCAATAACCATTTAATGTATTGACTTAAAACTTCTAATTTAAATAAAGGAGAGGATTCCTAACAGGAGAATAGAGAGACTTTTTGAATATATGACAAAATGTTGAAGTTACAAATTTTTTGTTTTTAGATTAAAATATTAACCATGAAATCAACTTTGAAATTCTCTAAAAACAAAACTACTCAAGATAACCTAAAAAAGTCTCTATTACTCTAACAGTAATTATGTTGTGTTTCTACTGTACAAATTTCATTGAAATCTAATAGACAGTATTTGAGATCATAATTTTGAAGTTTTAAAACTGGTAAAAAAACAAAATTGTGAGAAAAAGGGGAAAACGTGTTTGAAAATGAAAAAAAACTGTTAAACACTCTTTATATCTTATCAAAAGCTTATCATATAGTTTAAGCAATGTATACAAGATACTATAATCAAAGTTTCAATCAAATCAAGCAATAATTAGTCTTGGTAATTAGGTTTAATGAGGTGCACCCCCTAAAAATAAATTGTAAATAAGAGTTATCAAAAATATTTTAAAAATTAATAAAAGCTTTTAAATCAAATAATATCCTAGTAAAAGCTTATTAAATAGTTTTAGTATGTACAGAAGTTACTATTATCATTTGGTTTCTGAAATTAAGGAGTAATTATTCTTGTAAATCAGGTTTTATAAATGTACCCCTGAACAAAAAACTTCAAAACAGGTCAAGTAAAATTTACAAAAAAATTGAATTAGCTTACAAAATAGCTACATAGAGGTACAGTATACAACTCTGAAAACATTTGCATATTACTAACATTACAAAAACAAAATAGTTACAGTAGGCCTAATCATTCTCTATTTAGAAAGCCGAAGAAAAATATGATGATCTGCCTTCAGCCTGAACTAGTTTCTGTTGGGCTATGGGTGAAATAACAGCCATCTTTCAGTATTACTAACTGTCATGTAATCCCATGATTGGGGCCATATGCCTAGATGCATGCAGAAAGACTTTCATTTGGGTTGAATCTATCATGCAACTGCTCAATATGGCATTTGTCGTCAGTTGCTAATAAACATTTTGGACAGCTTTGGCAACATGTTCTAAGATGAATGATGAACCTTTGTGAGATAGCGGTGTTGAATTATGTACCATGACACATTTGCCAGAAGCACCAGGAGGTTTTCCCTGTCTGTCAATCCTGGTGTGTGTCCTTTCATCTGTCAAAGGGACATGATTAGAAGGAGCTCCAACTTTCCACCTCAGTTCCCTGTACTGCCAGTCTTACTTGAAACTGCCTTCTTGAAGTAGGTCTGGAGATTTTTTCAGCTGCTGAAATGAGATTGAGACAATATACTGATCTATACATTCTAGCTATCAGAGTGATTTCAAGAATTCAAACAAGTTTGACAAATCCTAATACCTGCGTAAGACTTCCAATCTATCCACTCAGTGCATTACGGCGATTAGACTGCAGAAGCACTAAATTTTCTTTGCGATGGTTGGTGGAAGTAGTGTAGCTGCAACCGATGCATGTGCACTGAGATGCAGGTACTGTAGGTGCATCTAGTGCATCTGTGCAGTCCCAAGTGATGTGCATCAACCCTAGCAAGCTTGGCAGCACTAGCTTTGAGACTTCAGGCATTGACTGTAAAAATATTTAAAAAAATAATAAGGCATATTGTTATTTCTAGATCTATCTATTATTCTATTATAAACTATTGTTTGTATTTATAGACTCATATTTACCTATATAGATCTGGACTAGAATCTAAATTCTACTTCTAGATCTTGATCTAGGTTTTAGATTTAGAATCTCCAATCTAGATCTAAATCTAGTTCTAGATTCTAGATCTAGAATAGATCTAGATTTCTAGATTCGAGATCTAGATATAGAACGACTCATTATCGATAAGGAATAATAGTCAAAGTTTATTGATGAAAATACAATTAATAACTATATTTTAGAAAATAATTTCAGTAAAATAGTAATTAAATCAAATCTTACCGTAAAAAGAAGCCAACAAACAAAAAATGTGCACTTATTTGATAAAAAAGAAGCACTCAGGTTCGCAGATGTCGAGTAAAGGAAGTCATGCGCTGAGCAAAATAATAGCCGGTATCTCGGCAACCGCTTACATTTCGGTCATATGTCGCCTTGACATGAGCTAATTTTAGTAACTTACAACATGGCTTCGCCTGGTAACCAATGGGAATACAGCTTTTCTTATTTCCATCATGCATTCACCTCGCGATTTCTATTTTAGTATTTAAAACTAGGTCAATGTATTTAGGTTATTTAAATGAGCAATTGCAAGCCGGTCATTCTGATATACGGCTTGCTATGCTAGGTCGCTTAGTTAAGAATCGACAGGCATGTTTATGGAGGCCATTTTTCCGTAAATTTATATTTTTCCAGGCACACACACCTTCTTCAAATGCACAAATATGTATGAAAATGTCAATTTACAGTTAAAACGATAACGGCATTAGGTAAATAAGATGTTAATGTATAGAAATAAAAAATAAAAAAAAATCGAAAAAAAAATAAAAATAAAATAAAAAATCAAGCTGAGTACGGTGTTGTAGCCCCTTAACAAATAATAGTGTTCGAAGAAAACTTCATAGAAATAATAACTTGAATGTCTGACCAGTATTTAAACTTGTACACACAGATGGGCAAGAGTTTCAAAGAGTAGTCATTTAATTAAAAAAATGCTATTTAATAAATCTTCTAGTCTACTGAATAATGCTGAAAAGTGACCTTGGTATACGTACCTCACTACTAGTTGGATGAATTCCAATGGTGGAGTCAAAGTCCTCTTTAGTAGCTCCTTTCTTCAAAGCAACAGCATAGCCTTGAGTTATTTCTCCAGCATTTGGTCCTAGAACATGAAATCCTATGACCCGCTCCTTAAAAGACAAAATGAAACAATTTAAAAAAAACCCACAGAAATACTAGGTGGATAAGTATGCACATAGTGGTGTAAAATGTATGCTTACGTTATCTTTTTTATTGCAAACAAGTTTAGCATAGCATGTGTTTTCTTCCTTATGAGGAACTGTCCACTCCAGTGGCATGAAGAAACTGTGGTATACCTGTCAGTGGAGGAAAAATGTAAAGTTAGAAACTTATTATAAATCACCAATCCTCCCTTTGTTAAATTATCAATTGTATTAATTAAAGCTTTTGAAAATGGAATAGTAGTTGTTTTTTAAAATCAAAATTAATGTTTTACTATTTAGATTTTATTACAAAAATATCTACATTACCTCAATATTATCTTCCCCAAATTTTTCAATGGCTGCTTCTTCTGAGTACCCAATACATCCATATTCAAGAGGAGTAAAAACTGTTGTAGCAACATTCATATAATCAACCTAGAACAAAGTTAAATTAGCTGGTGAAAATATTACAATAAAGAGATACTAACTTTTTATCTTTGTATTAATAAGAGCACCAGGATACCTTTGTTGTGAAATTAGAATTAAATAATCTTCGAGATAACAGTTTTCCAGCCTGGATAGCAACAGGTGTAAGTTGAGGTCGGCCATCACCAATATCACCAATAGCATAAACATTAGAAACATTTGTCTTTTCTGCAGAATCCACTAGCACTCTCCCATTGCTGAAAATGGAATTGAGTTCAAATTTACTTATCATAACTTATTAACAAAAACTAATACAGAGAGTAAGTGAACAGAAATGTGAGTATGTGCAGTGATAAACACCTGCCAAATCACATATATGGTTATTAATCTAGATTTTAAAAATGATGTGTCTATTCTATTAAAATTATATTTTAAAACATACTTAGGATTTAGATTCACTCCAACATTTTCTAGACCGATGCCTGTGGTGCAAGGATCCCTTCCAATAGCCAAGAGGATCTGGAATTGATAAATTAGAAGATAAAGCAATAGAGTCAATTCAATTCCCAGCTTTTATATACTTAACTACTAAATAACTGCATATCTTACAGTGTTATATTCTTCTACTATTTCTGTACCATCATCCTTCACAGCTGTAACTTTATATCTACCTGGTTGACCCTTCTCTATCTGCTCAATCTGGAGAAAATAAAGAGTATATGTTCTTACTTTTTTTGGTGTTTTTTTTTTAATGGAGTAATCATGCATTTGATATTCATATAATTTGAGTCATGTAATGCAATTTTAAATGATTTAATTGTGCTGCTTACAAGAAAAACTTAAGAGCCAATAATGTATAATAGATAAAACAATCTGAACTAAACAGTTAAAATAATAATTTAAAAATCAAAACAAAATGCATTACACTTGTCAAACTACAGATCAAATTGGAATGCATTGTAAGCATTTATTAAAGGTTAAGTTTCTTATCAATTTTTTTTTAATGATCAGGATAGCTTTTGTAACCACAAACTATTAAATTGCATGTCAACTCCTCACTGTAATAAAAATGTAAACAATGTTTAAAAATATGCATAGTCTTAAAATTTAATAAAAGCAAAGATGTCAAGCCACTTAATTAGAGTGACATTTTATTGATGTCCCATCAAGTGAAGTAGAACTGTTTTAAAAAATATGACATGTTTGCATAATTAACTTTTTTTGGTATCCATACTTATAGTGTAATTATTTATATGAGTGAAAATGGTTAACAAGACCATAAGATCTTTTAACTTCAAGCCACTAAACAAGCTTGAATCATACATAAAGCAAGTTTTATTAAAAATATTTTTCCCCCTTGAAATTGTTTTTTATTATCTTAAAAAGATTTTTAAGGGGCAGCAAGCTATTTCTATTAATTAACTTGTGCTGTGCAAAATCTTCAATTTAAAAATAAAAAAAAACCAGCTAAAATATAAATTTTTGTTTTGGACTGTGGAGTTTTGACATGTGTGAATGCTGTACACACAAAGTTAATTCTGAAAATTGTTTAACTGGAACCTCACTATTGAGTTATTTCTGCAATTTAATATGCCAAAAAATGAACGCCGAAAGGCAGGTTGAATCTGAAATATTTTAGATATGTTTAATATTTACCTGTTGTATTCAGTCTTAAAATATTTACAAACTCTTTAACAGTATTTAAATCTACTGATGGGCCATACCATATTTTAAAGATTTCATTCACAAAAATTACAAACGGGTTCAAGAGATTAAAAGTTTCCTACGTATTTTCAAAACATCTGGCAATTAACAAATTGGATCTATACTAGTTAGCACGCGGTTAGCAAAGAGTTAAAAAACATATCCAGTAGAAATGCTTTAGGAATGAAAAATTAACACAATGCAAAAAGAAATTTACTCCTAAGAGACCATACATTAGAGCCAGCATTACTATAGAATTAATGTTAATTACAGCAAATATTTTGATTAGGATGTACTAACCTTTTTTGGTACTGCTCCTCGTATAAACTTAACCCCATGGTTACTCATGTATTTTCCTATCATTTCACTGCACTGTTGATCAAAACCTCTGAGCAGTATAGAGCGAACCATTACTGTTGTGTCCAATCCAATTCCAGCTAAAAATCCAGCACATTCAAGAGAGACGTAAGATGCTCCAACACATAATGTTTTGCCAGGACAATAAGGCAAAGAGAAAAGGTCATCACTGAAAATAAAAACAGAAGAATTATTTTTTATTTTACATCAAGTAAAAATACTTCTCAGTCATTAATTTAACTAATTGCATTGCATTTGCTGGACAGATTAATTTAACCCTTGCAGCACTGGACACATTTACTTTTTTTTTTATTCCTCCCCTCATGCCAGGCACAAACAATTTTGATTCTTTTCCCTCATGCCCATTCAGGAGAATTTCCATCAAATGGGGTAGTATTTACAAATACAAAGCAAAGTACTTGACCTTTCACCTCAGCTATTTTAAAGAGGAAAAGTCAAACCTACTTTTGATTTATTAACTAAACAATTAATAAAATATATTATGGACCTATTTCTTTAAAATTTTTGTGTGGGTCAAAATTTGACAAAATGGCTGATATAGTCAGCCTTGTCATGTAGGCTGCAGTTTATCAAGAAATTAATTTTAATTACATGTGAATGTTTTTAAGGGAAAAATAAAGAACTCGACCGCTTTAAATAGGTAGTCCAAACTGGCAAAAAAGTGCGTTTTAGGGTCAGTTTTTGCGGTTTTCAAAAAAAAAATTTCACTACTTCTAGTTGTCCTATAAGAATAAAAATTATATGTCAATAAAGTTTAAGTCTTTATCTGTCGTAATCTGGTATTTTTATATCTGTAACACATGTTTGAATGTGTTTTATATTTGTTTGAAAAGTATCAGTTACGTCAACAAATTTCACCGTTTTGCGTGTACCGATCGACCCCACACTGTTTTATTTGGTCGCGGCTTCGCGACGAAGCATCGTAGAAGCATAATCTTAATGTCATTTTAAAGATCGAATTCTAGGCTATCGTTTGATGTATAAATTGAAAAAATAACTTGTTTATTTCATTTAAAAAATACAGATTTTAAACTTTAAATGACGATATATACACGGAAACAAACTAATTCTGTTTCAATTTTTACACCGATGTAAAGTTCAGTTTTATAACTACTTTGTGTTGTAAATTCAAGTATTTCTGATTTACGGTCGCGAAGCCGTACCCCCAATAAACATATAACCCTTGAGTCGACTTTCAGCCCCGAGTAAGTTGCTCGCCGAACGGTTTTAAAGGTTGACGACCGATGATGCTAAACGGATTTTACCCTTGCTAGAGCCTTCAAACAAGTTGTAAGTATCATTTTTAAAGTTTCATTTCCATTTTAATAAATGAATTTTAAGTTTGAATGTCAGTTTGGTTTAATTAGTACACGTTATTAATGTAAATTTGAACGCTACAAGTCCACGGTTTTAGTGTGTGAACTACGCTTGTACACAGGGTGTGTTTAGACGTGAAGCTATTTAATTCAGGACATTCTAGGGACTTGAAATATGGATGCACTTAACTATTAGATGCTAGTGTTTACTAATTCTTTAAAATCTATTGACTGGGATCAATGATAGGGTCGTATTACTACAGTTTATCTGGACTAACACGTCAAAATTATGAATCGACAAATTCAAAATGGCCACCAGACTATCCTGGTTACTATGTGGACGAACTCAATTATTTACAGGGAACGAAGGTTAAATACTTATAAAATACTAATGAAACACAAAAGAAATTTATAATTATAATAACTATAGAGTCCTTGCAAACACGTGACTTAAATCACGTGACACCTACGCCCGCCGCCACAGTGGTGTACATCAGACGTAAACACAATCAGCTGTTCGCCAGCGCTGGACGTGTTCACCAGCGCTGGACGTGTTCACCAGCGCTGGACGCGTTCACCGTATGTAAAGAATCGCGCCCGCGGAAAAGGAAAAATATGTTAAAAAACTTGAACTCTTAGGAATTGAAGATCCTTATACAGTTATTGACAGTTTGGTGGATAATATATAATATGTGGCCGAAATTTCTAAATAAAAATACTGTTAGTAATACCGTTTGCGTTAAGAGTTTAAGTAGACGAAGCTGTAATGCAGTAATATATTATAGGTTATCTACTGTAGCAAACGTGAGACCACTTAACTCCTACAAAACCCACACTACAATGGCTAATATAATCCATGGGTAATAACCAATCTGGGTAGCATGTTATACAATTTAAGACCCTTATAATCCAGCAGGGAAGTAATCAGACACATTAATACTGACGTTCAACCCTCATGATAGCTGCCCCCACCTGTATCTAGCCCACAATAAAACCAAAGAGGAGTCTGCCCTGCCCTCCCCTGAAAATGTCTCACCTCCGTGATACCCAGCCCCACAGAGATAGTATTTCTTATATAATTTTGACCCTCAGGGCCCAGCAGGGAGAACAAAGGGGAAAGTCCCACTGCTCTCCCCTCAACACTTCTCACCTCGGTGTCATGTTATGTCATTTATAGCACACATGGCTTATCAGGGGAAAGCATTAAGGCATTAAGAATCTTAACTCGGGACAGCTACACATTAGTATACTAGCTACACACTAGGTGCCTACTGTAAACTACTAGACTGTAGGCCCTATGTAGACCTGCAATTGTATCAATTGTAGACTGGGTCCATTGTTATTATTCTAAACCATCTCACTTATAATGTTTCTAGCTTGATTTGTTTCTTTTATAAACAGTGGATTTAAAAAAAAAAAAAATTAGCCTAATCATTAACCAAATAATAATAATGTGGTTATTTGTTGTTGGCTGGTATGATCTAGATTGTACTACTAGGCTACAAAAACTTAGTAGACCAATTACTAGATATGAATTTGAATTTAATTAAACTCAGTCCAGTATCAGATACATATTGCTGTAAAAAGACAACAAAGTAGGTAGGCCTTAGTAATTTATTAAAGCCTTCTACTACAATAATATCAACTACATGCTTGTATAAAGTTTTTACAATTTAATTTAAGTAGCAGATTCTAGGTCTAAGTCTAGTCATACAATCTATTTCAATTTCAGAAAATTTCGTTTGCTAAAAAAATGACTAGATTATAGAGCGAGATTTTAGATCTTAGAGACAATTAAATGCTTTATTAGGCCTATTATGACTACTTTTGATTTATTATGGGTGTATTTTTGAATCGAATGTAGATCTAAAGTAATTAAATTTAAGTAAAGAAGTAGATTCTAGATTCTATGTCTACCCAGCGGAGCCAGGTATTAGGCCTACTATTAGATCTTATTATTCTTATTATTACTTTTGACTTTGTCTTTTACTATTAGTATTTGTGAAGGTCGAGCATATTTGTTTTATTAATAGTTATCTTTTATAATTAAAATGAAGTTTATTATTTTACTCTCCTTACCTGAAACAAAGTATCGAGAACTGCATTTGATCAGATTCGGCTACTTTAAGGACAGGCACCACGGATAAAAATTTTTTTTTTATTTAACACATTTCTGGTTGTTTAATAAGTTCATATAGTTATAGTTGTTAAACTATAGACAAAAATAATATATAGCCGTCAATAGCAGTACTGGTTGCCATGGAAACCGCGAAAAGGTGTGAAAACTAACACCTTTTCAAATCGCTAAGGCTTTGTTCCCATAAGAGATTTTAAAAAGCAGATGAAAGATTTAGGTTTCTCAAACCAAACTATACATTTCTACGTTTACTCATTGCGATAGCTTGTACTCAATTTTTAATACAAATTTTTACGTAAATGTATGTGCAAAAATTAGGGGGTGGTGTTACATAAATATCAATATTTCCTAAAGTATTGTAGCAAACTTAATGTACAAACGTAGTTTTGTAGATTGTATCACGCTGAATGCACGTGGAATGTTTTATTCTTGTATGACAAAGGGTTCCAAAGCCTTAGCGATTTGAATGTTGAATTTTGAGTAAAAATGCAAAGTTGAGAAAACGTGAAAAGAAGAGCGGGAAAAGGCACGGCGCGTTTTCTCTTATAGAAAACAGAAAAAAACGTCTTGTTATATGTGGAAGAACCATTTGTCTAATAAAATACGCTTTGATTTATGTTGTAAGTTTTAGACAGAATTTTTCTATGTAAGCAGAAAATATGTATACAACAGGTAATGAATGTATGACTATTAAGTATTACACATCCTATCAATCGAGCGGTATTCTCAGAACAGCTATTTTCAAACCAGATCAAGTTTTGTTTGTTAGCCGGTCTTCTCCCTTCAAAACAATGTCTTTCTCTACTCAAATTGTAGCTTACACAAGTTTATTGCCTTATGATAATAGCCTACAACACAACACTGGGTACAACGCTTGGGGCTAGACACGCCCCCTCCACCCCACCCACCGCTGGATAGTGCGTGAAGAACCGATGAGCCATAGATTACCAATGTTCATTCAACCGCGAATAACACATCTGTGTAGATAGGGTCAAGTACAGGGCCTAAGTGAATGCTTCTCAGCTATCCTATCTAGTATTTACATTCGTTGCTACCACACCCTATACGGAGAGATGGGCATACACATTAACACATGTGTCGTATACAGTCCGGTGTAAAGCCTGATGAACGCGTTCAAGCCTATCACAGCATGCCTTAACTAGATTATAAACCGGCCGTTGGTTGAATGGCGAGAAGGGAATGAAGGGGGTAAAGGGGATGGACAGTACATTCTTCAAACTGATAGTCATGTCCATGACGCATTGTTTCAGCTTAGTATAAAGCGTACGAAACAGTGTTTAATATTGTTCCAGTGATAATCAACAGTGCATTTCTAGGCCACGTTTCAATTACTAAACTTAATGTTGATGTATAACTTTAAAACAACAAATAGAAGAATATACGCAAATGAGGTAAACAAACGAGACAGTCGATTGTTTTGTTTATCTAGAAACAAGATGGCTGCCTAGCACACGTGGTTAGTTGCAGCCTATCGTGAATTATTTTGATTTACTGTACTATAATATGATTGGTCAAGCGTATCAATGAATCTCTTCCCCTTCATAATTTTTACGCGCATGCCCTTATATGGAGTTTGATATAAAATTTTACTTTGTAGAAAACAACTTCTATCTCACTTATTTTTAGAACAAAAGAAAAGGTCACTACACCAGCGGGTACACGAGTGCTTGGCCCTTAGATTGCTGTAAAGTTTATGGTGCCCCGCGGGCCATAAATACATGTAATACCCGCTCGAAGATAGCCGCTGTCCGCGTAGTAGTGTGAAAACTTGTCGGGGGGTACCATGTTTCACATCGCAATAAACGAATAACCGTAAGCTGTAGAAGTCCGAAATGTTCGGGTTAGAGAGATAAAAGGTATTAGTATCGAATTAAGAAATAAAAATTTTGGGGAGCAAAATTAAAATTTTATCGAAAACATGGGTATCTTGTTCCCTTAACTCTAAACGCAAACAGTATTACTAACAGTATTTTTATTTAGAAATTTTGTCCACATATTTATTTATACGAAACTGTCAATAACAGTATAAGAGTTCAAGTTTTTTAACGTATTTTTCCTTTTTCGCGGGTGCGGTTCTTTACATACAGTGAACGCGTCCAGCGCTGGTGAACACGTCCAGCGCTGGCGAACAGCTGATTGTGTTTACGTCTGGTGTACACCACTGTGGCGGAGGGCGTAGGTATCACGAACGGACGTGACGTCATATGAAAGGACTCTATACATTTTTATCAATGTATTTAAAACAAAAGACACTAAATTTGAAGGACTAATGTGATTAATTTTTTTATTTTCTGTTGTGCACTCTGATTCTGATTCCCCTGCTGAATAATGTGAAATGGTCTGCGCCAGTCTCCTTAATAAAATGTACCAGATCAATTTTTAGATGGTTGTGCAATTTATTAAGATTGTACATGTTGTGACTTAGTTTTAAATGTTATATTAGTTGTAAGTGTAAGTAGTACTAGTAGTATTTCTCATTATTTATTTATTTTATATGCATATAATAGTAACAATGAAGGACAGTTAAGTTGTCCTATAGGATGTTGAGAACCACAGTACGGCATCTTCATCATTGGATATCTCAACCATTGTGGGACAAGCAACGATTATTTCAAATTTCATTCAGTAGAATTACTCTTAAAAATATATATAAAAAATATAAATTACTTTTAACAAAAAGGTGTTTTCAGGCTTTTTCATATGTTTCCAGTTATAGTCATAGGACAAATAGTAGGCCTACACAATAGGCTAGTAGTAAATTTAATTATATTTTATTAATCACTAAATCAATTGTTCGTTCCATAGCTGGAGACATTTACGGTGGCCTATCCAGAACTTTTCTTACAAGGGAAGGGAAGAAGGCCAAGACCCCACTCCCCCCTACAATTCCCAAAACATATTAGTTACTCTTGATGCTCCACAAGATCAAGGTTGAGGGAAACAAGACGTACAAAGATGTTCCCCCAAAACTGTTCCCCCAAAGCAGTTATCAGGTTTGAAAAGAAACCAAAGCATGTGGCATCAACTGCTGCATCACTTGTAGGCATCACGTCTTTATTAAACTACATTACATTACATTTACTCTACTAAATTTTGATTCTGTTTCTCCTGCACTAGATAACTGTGGTATTTTTTAAAATAATATTTTAACTCATGTGATTTTTGAAAATAATTAACACATTTTTCCACGTCGATGTTACCAACACAATAATTTTAGAGTTATTCCAAAGCAAAAAAAAAAAAAATGAATTTTTTTTTTTTATGAAAATAAAAGTGACCAAAATGCATTTTTGTCATTTTCAATTATTTTTTTACCTTAGAAAGACTCATTTTAGATGACTGAAAAAAATTGGGCATATATATTACAAACTTTGCAGCAACTTTACCAATTTCCACACTTCTATGTTATTTAGTTTAAAAAATATGGGTTCTCAAAAATGGCACTTTTTGAAAATCAGTTTTTTACCAAATTTTGCTTTTTTAAAAATCGCATAACTTTTTTATTTATTGAGATATTTTTATAAAATTTGTGGCATAGACCTTACAATTAAAAGTTCTTTCATGACATACTCACTCCAGAAGTCTGCAATCAATAGTTAATTTCAGTTTGGACTACCTATTTTAAATCTAGATGTAAATATTTAAAACCTGAATTGGACAGAGTTGCCACACATGACAGAGCTATTACTTACCAATGCTTAATGCATACACCTCTTAGATTTTCTACATCATTTAATTTTGCTCAAATAATTCAACGAGTCATCATTTGTTCCAAACAAAAATACTTAATTTTAACAATCAAAGAATTGTGAACATGGTAAATAATCTCTGGGCAAGAGGGAACTGAGTGAAAATATGAGGGGCTGTGGGAATAGAGGGCAAAAAATAGGTGAGGCTTTGAGCGTCACAACATCTATAAATATAGCCCCCCGCTTCTCATTTAACCACAGCTAGTTAAAATCTAAAGCATTACGCAACAGCACAAGCTACTAATTGTGAAAAGTAAAACTCAGCATAAACAAAATGAAAAAACATCCTTACCTGGTAATACAATATTCCTTAGCACCTGGTATATCTAAATAGCGTGGTCGTTCTCCAGTTGCAATAATAATGTTAGCTGCTGTTAGTGTAGATTCTGTTTTATTTTTTTTTATTGCCTTAAAAAGATAAAGCATTGTAATTTAAAGGGGTAAATTATTAGATTGTTTTTTTAATGACACGATATAAATTCTTAAAATACTTACTTTGATTGTATTTTTGTCAATAATTTGAGCACGAGCATTGACATAGTTAACTTTTTTGTCTCTAAGTTGTACTCTGTAACCCCAGTTTAAAGAACCTATGTGATCCTGGAAGAATATGTACAATTGTAATTTACTATTGCTTAAAATATGTTTAAAAACAGTGGATTGTAAGAACAAAATATTTTTTAAACTGTACCTGAATAGCATTTCTCATTGTTGACCAATTGTGATGAACTGAAAAACAAAATAAAAAACATCTCCGAATTATGGAAGGTGTATGGAATGAATAAATAATGCAGCTAATAAATAAATAATTATATCTACTATACTATAGGCAGTGGAGCAGGCTCTATAATCACCATGCATCAGCTATAGTGAATGATCAAAATTGCTCTTTTTTTTGTATGGCTAGCTGGTCATAGTTCTGACCTGACGCACTGTAGGTGAGACTAATTTGTGCTGTGTATAGTGGTGGGCTCTGTTCCATCTGGCTAAACATCTATCTTTACAAGCACCAAATTTGGTACCTGTGTATACCTTCGGAATTAGTCTAACACTGACCAATATTGCAATTTAAGAAACAAAGCCTGGTTCCAACCCCTCAATTTGTTTTTTCAGCTGAACATTTTAAAAAGCAATATTTACTCACCTTTATCTGGAACTTCCCAGCCAAAACTTTTAGCTTCATGTAATTCTTCACCTGAAATTTAGATTGTCAGTAACTGTTTAAATTTAATGAAAAATTTACTTTTATGCAATTAAAAAAAAAATTCTACAAAGATAAAAATTCATCTAAAAAATTAAAAGTTAAAAATTAAAAAGTTTGCAAATTAAAAATAATAATTTTGTAATCTGATGTAAAAATACTTTACCTAATATTGATGCCCTGTGCATCAATTTTTTTGGAATGCATCCAACATTTACACAAGTTCCTCCTAAACCTGAAAGAGAATTTTTAATGCCTTTACTTTTCAATCAATCCAATAACAAAATAACCGATCTTTGTGAAACGTTTTAGCTATTTAGAAAAAAAAGTAAGAATGATGACAGTTTCTTTGCTCTACATTTCCAAATATAACTTTACTATTAATTTGGCACTGCGATCATTCAGGTGTGTACACAAACTTAAAGATGAAAACTATCTTTTATTTTTGTTTGCAACAATTAATAGTGAAGCAAAGAGAAATATCTGGTCAAAAGTTAATAAAGGTGTCTATGTGCTAGTAAATAGCACTTATTGAACACAAAACTGTTTAATGTGATCTTCAACTAAAGCTAATGTCTGGAAATCAGGACCAGGTTTGCAGTGATTTAGTCAGATTTATGTTTAAAAAATATTTACATTTATAATTAAAGTAGCCATAGAAATTTTTGTATTGTCTTTGCCAGTATGGCTAACCTACATAGCCTGACAAAACCATGTCAAAATTAATTATAAAAAGAATAACTATTTAAAATAAGTCAAGGTAGGTTTAACCAAACATTTTGCTTGGTATTGCAGTGAAAGGTCAAATACTTTTTGTTTGTAAAAAGTACCTCCATTAAATAGAAATTCATGCAAGTGGGCATGAGGGAAGAAAAACGGAGAAGTAAACATCAAGGGCTATACTGGTTACAAGCACTTACCCCAAGCTGTCCCTATTGGAGAAGGTTCTACATAATCAAAAAGAGTAACTTTCTTTCCCATATTCGCTGCTTCCTAAAAAAGAACAATAAAATGTAAAATGCAAACAAGAGCTGTACTTAATCGAATGATTAAGCTTATGTGAGAGCTTGTATTATGATGAAATGGAATTTAAGAATAAAAACACCATTGTAAATAGTTTCAGTATTATTTAAAAATCAGCACTAAGAGATTATTTAGTAATATCAATTTTTCATTTTGAATGTTTAATGTTATATTTTTTTATGGAGTTTATAAATTGGAAGAAAACACCTAAGTATGGTGTCATTTAATTTTACAGTGTTATTTTGATTTTAATAAATATATAAAGACAATTAACTTCACTGCAAACCTTAGCAGCAGCCAAGCCTCCTGAGCCACCACCAATAACAACAAGGTCAAAATCATACTTTGGAACAGCCGCCATGTTGTGTATCATATCACCCAATGTGTTCTCGCTGTGAGCTCTCAATAAATCATCACAGCCACCTACAACAATTAATTATAGAATAATTAACAATTTAAAATAATGAATTGCTGAGTTAAACTTACTTAAAAAACTAAAACACAATAGCAAAGCACTAGTCCTTAGATGGCTTATGAAATTAGGTCATATAAAACAATAATTAACTAGTTCTTTTAATTGTAAAATTATAAGAAATAACAAAGAAAATCGGGTTGACGGAAAAAATTGAAACTTTAGTAAATTTTTTTATACCACTAACTATTTCTCTAAAGAAATTAAGTTTATGATCTTGCACAACTTAAATGATCAAACCTAGCACAATTTTACTTAGCTCTAATTTTAGTTGTTTGAGCAGTTAAGCATTTTATTGGTAAGTTAAATTTCTTACCTAAATGTTTGCCATGTATAAATATATTTGGCACAGTAGACTGCCCTGTTAATTCTCTTAAGGTAGACTGATAAAGTGTACCTTTCTCTGGAGAACAGGAAATATATAAACAATGGGAATAATTACATTTCTGCAATGATTTGTTTTCTTTCATTATATAAACAAAAATGTAAAATTACATTGGCTATAATGATACTCACCAATGAGATCTAGTTCTACTGATTCATATTTTGCACTCAAACTTTTAAACAAATCTTTGGCCTGTTGAAAAATAGAATAGTGGTTGAATTATTGAAAATAACTAATATATATAGACTATAGACTAGTTAAGGACACACACACGCAAAAAGGGGAAGGGGGGTCCTCATTGATTATTAAGGTTTAATGTAAATTTTTTTCCATTTATTTATTTTATAATGAGCTCCCACAAAACTAGATATATTTAGATTCTAGATCTAGATTCTTTGACCTCCCCTCCTCTAAAATAAGTTGTATAAATCTGGTCCAGTTGGCTGAGGGAATCAGATCAAAATTTGTAATAAAAATTATTAGGCTAATTAATTAATAATTAAATAAACATGCACCAAAAATCTATTTTAAAATGTGACAACAAAGAAAACACATGTATACACTTAGTTATGATTTAATACAATCAATGGTCAATGACTAGATCTAGAAACTAGATCTATAACTATGACTTGGCATTTTACTTTAGCACGCAAACTTCACATTCAATTTTATTTAAAAAATGTAAACAACTGGTGCTAGAGTCTAGAAGCTAAATTTGCAGAGGTCTAAACAGTAAACACCGTATCCGAATTAGCAGTTACCTTCTGACAACATTTTGCAGCAATCTTATTATTTGAACAGATCTTAGACTTAAGAGTAAACTCAGAATATACACATTTTAATAGCTCAGTAAGTTTAAATCGAGACATATCTCCCAGAAAATGACCTTTTCTTCGCAACAACGGGTGACCCGGAAATGACTAATGCAGTATTAATTGTTCAAATAGCAAAGCTATTTTAACACGCAGATATTAAAGATCAACAATCATTAACATTTTAAAAGATTATATCGATTTTAATTTTGTTTCTGAAATGGAGACTGTGTATTAGTAAATAAAAAACAATGTAGATTAAAACAATTTAAGTCTCACGTTAATGAATTTCCAAAAAAAAAAAAAACTGAAGAAAAGACTGAAAAAAGGTTATTTAAAAACATATTTTAATTATAAAAAAATAGTTTAGGCCTATCATATAAAATATAAGATTTCAAACTTAATAATTTTAATTTTACAAAGGTTTAAATAATAAAAAATATTATTTAATATATAATTAAAAACGACACTAGTTTCTCTTAAATTTGATAAGTTTAGTTATCATGTAATCTGGCTGGCTAGTAAGTGCTTAACCATCATGGTTTCCGTTTTATTTTACAAATTCAATTATCAACGTATATCGATATGGTATTGATATTACTTAATTGCAAAACCAATGCACATGTTATGTTGTAATGTTTGTCAATGCAAACTCGCCTCTGGTTTATTTTTTTTTAACGTAAAGACTGGTAGGACCATCGTCAATAACACGTATCGTTTGCTTGATTTTGATATGTTAAAAATGAAGCGTGATTTTGCAGGCTGTGGTTTCGTCCAGATTATTATATTTTACATTTTCTGCAATGTTTTTTTAAATAAATATAAAATTAGAAGAGTAGGACTTAGGGCAGGGTTGGACTTGAAAGTTTTGGGATAGGGGGGAGGGGGAGATGAAGACGACGAAGACACCAGTTTAAGTATACATTTTCTATATTCAAGGGGGATGTTACTTGCTCTGGGAAGAGGGTGAGTTACCCCAAGATATGCCTGTAAGAAACGCTGTAATCAGGTATCCAACAAATAAAGCTAAAAGGGACAAGAAAAAGAAACTACATCGGTGGAAATCTTTACCAGAAATGAAGACATTGGTAAAAGAAAGTAGGTCAAGCAACACCCAGTAAATCATCGACAAAGTAAAATTATATTGAAGTTTTCCAGAAATTAGCACAAACTACCAAGTATCGCGTAGATCTGAGCAAAATTCTGAGCGCAAATTCTAAATAAACTGGGCGTTATAAAGTACTTAAAAGCATCGTTTTATTATCCATAAATTATTTACATATATGAAGAGGAAAACGGAAATCCTGACGGTCGGTATAAAGCAAGACGAATAGGGTTAATATACAAAATGTATACCTTACCAGTGCTCTCCCCCCCCCCCCCCCCCCGCCACGGAGAACATTCTCGGATAGAACACTAATCATGTTATAAAGAAACGATTTTCTAACATCAGGGCGAATAAACAAATATGTATTCTAGATAAAATTCACTCCATGCACAATACTTAGTCTACTTACCTGTCTACAAGAAAAGAAAAAAAAACGTACCTACATTGAGAATAGATTATTTATATAGGAAAACTAAAAGCTGATAAAACTTTTAATTGAGACTACAAGAAAGTTAGCAAAAGAAAAAAAAACACACACTTATAACTTTGTGTCGATATCAACGAGAATATAAATGTCTTCATATAATAGCTGCGGACTATTCAGGAGCACTGTAATGGTGGATAGATTTTTATCTCATCCGCCAACAATCAATACCACGGTGAGAGGAAACACGATTCCTCATTGGAGCAAATCTCAATTATCAGAAAGAGCAGCCCATACAAGAGATGAGCACAAAAAAAAACAAGGTGGCTATTGTTTAGATTTTATTAGAGAAGTAAAGTAAAACGGAACTTGGACAGCAGGGTGGCTATTGTTTAGATTTTATTAGAGAAGTAAAGTAAAACGGAACTTCGACATCAGGGTGGCTATTGTTTAGATTTTAAAGGAGAAGTAAAGTAAAACGGAACTTGGACATCAGGGTGGCTATTGTTTAGATTATGCGATTATGTGAGAAGTAAAGCGGAGATTGGACAACACGTTGTAGTCAACTGTAATATCGCCACAACAATATCAACTGCTTCTGCTGCGTTTATAAAATAGGACACGTTGAGGGAAGTTAGCGAGTCTGATTAGTTTTATAAACAGCAGTCACTCCCCTCCTTCTATTAATTATTCAAAATAAAGACAGCCGATCCTTTACAAGTTAAGACAAGTTATTTTCAAAGTTTATAGGCTAGCAATGTGCCGCCGTAAATCAAATTTTTCCCCCTCTCCTTGTAGCATACGTAATATAGGACTTGAAAGCTTGTTTAAGCGGGCGAGAGATTAACAAATCCATTCAAATTAGATCAACGCCTGCACGTATGTGTTAACCTTTCGCCAGTAGTGTAGGAACTTATAACTATAGCCTAATGCCAACAAATATACTGTAATACTGTGTGGGCTATTCTGAAATGTTTTATTGTGACAATAATTTATTGCATTGTCTTACTGGGTTATAGCAATAATTTCTTTTCGTTTACTTTAGAATTAGTATTATCCATAACTCTACTTATGTCCTCTATTTATGACGGTCACGTATTGCAAACTTAAAATGTCAAGGTCATGCAGCTTTCGAGTACCCGATAACTTAAAACTTCGGGGATTCCTATGAGAGTTCTGTCAATCAGGCTTTAACAACAGTCACGTGTTATTCACAACAACTGAATACCAACACACCGTACACGTGACGCCAGCCGCGATCTTTTAACTGAAGCAAACAAGCTTAATTGGATTTACCTAATGACCTAAATTAGCAGCAGTGTAAAAATTCGAGGTTGGCGAGTAGTGGGAAATAAACCTAGTCATACAAGAATAAGTGTGTTACGTAAATATAGGCCTATATAGACCACTTCTTCTATAATCTGGACCAAAATACTAAGATATTGTCTTTTCTCGTTAGAAAAAATATAGTTAACAGGTCTTTGAGCTATTCAATCCCTTACTGAAAACAATGTCAAATGATAGGCCTAGTCTAATCACGTGAGACGCTTTATATATGCTAACGGTACCCCTAGCTAATCTATACAGTATCCAAATATTGGTGAGAGGTAAACTAATTAACCAGTCATTTGTGATTTGTCCTCAGCATAAACATAGATTACATTGGCAAACATGTTTTAATTATACTGTACAGAAAACTAAACATCCATTTAATCACGTCTATTTTTTTTGCCAACGTTGCAATCGACCTTGCAATAGTAATACAAACATTTCTATCCTGGTAGTAGTACATGATCGATACGATAGTTTAGCGCATTTTTTAGCGCATGCGCTTTCATCAACATAATCCACATATTGGGTAGATAATATAAGCTTTCGGTCAACAACACTTAAATAACCTATTCTCAGGATATGTTATGAAGTGCAGTCAAGTGGGCTTGGGCTATTTTCAGGATATCCGCAAAACGAGTCTAAAACTCGAGGCAGGATCCATGATGTAGCATTTAAAAAAATTAAGAGCATGCTGCTATAACGACAAATGTTTTGTGCAGTCTTTGGATCACTTGTGCACATCTGTTCATTCAGTAAATCTTGTATCCTATTTGCATTTATTTTAACGCCCCATGTCGCATTTATTTGAGATAATTCACGGCCATGGGTAGCAAACAGCCGCTGAAATTTATGTTTTACCCGGACATGTTTCAATCCTTTTTAATTACTTTCAGTTAATTAAAAAAAAAACTTTTTAATTGGGGTAACCACATTACTAGTCTGAGCCGTGACGTCATTGTTTATCGGCGGTGTAAGGAAAGGCAACCGTGACTCACATTACTATCAATGACATAGCAAAATTTTAAACTAGAACAGTACACCAGCTGGCTAGGCAATGTTTCAACAGCCATATGTTAATCTGTATTACTGAAAGACTCACAAACTCGCGCCACAGAGACAAAAAAAGTTAGAGCGTTATACAAAAAGTGACAATAACGTATTTGTGAAAGGGTATGGCATGAGCATATTTGTGCCCTAGTATGTTTCTTTGAAAAATTATTTGGGAGCCGCGAACAAATATAATGGATAAAACTATATGCAATATATAAAGGAATCCTTTCTAATTCATCTAGATCTAGTTCTTATAATAAACTTCAAAAGGAATACTCAGAGAATACAAAACATGTTTAAGCTAGTAAATTAAGGTAAAAAAAATCCCTAAAACTGAATATGCAACCAAGAAAAACAACAAAGACAGGGCTTAAGGATATCAAAACACACTTTGATAACATTTAAACATGGTTACTGCCACCAAGAATGCAGTGACTACTGATAAGACACAAGAATCATTAATAACATGTAAATTGTTACAGTAAAGGTCATAACAGCATCATTGTGCTTATTGGTTCTCTATCTTTACCCTGGAGAGATCCAGGTCCTTTTCCAAAGTATAACTTAAGTTTATTCACAAATATAAAGTTTAACAGATCTTAGTTTATTTTCTTCATTTTTAATAAGCTGACCATGCTGACCCCCCCCCCCCCCCCCCCCCCGCGATGTCACTATAATAAATGTGACCATGGTTGAGAACTACTTTCATAGACAGAGACTTGCCGTACTGGTAAATTTCTAGACAGTGTAGATTGCTGCTGGTCAATGTGTTAGACAATTATCACACTACAGTAACTAGATCATAATTAATCCCACCCAGAGCAACAGAAAAATTGTGATCTACTTAGTGGCTTACATATAACACAAAACAAATGATTCTCCAAACTTTTGCCAGCCCAACAACCTGCTTGTATATACTCAGCTGATACTTATGTGAACAGGGAATCAATAATGTCATAGAAACTGTCTGCTTTATCCCTAGTCATGACATAAGACTGACACTAATGATGTCTTAATATCTAATTGCTTTGCCTGGGGTCAAATAGAAAAATGATTGCCAAGTCTAAAGACAGGGTTCACTAAGAAACTGTGGCTAATACAGATTAAGGGGAGGGGGGGGGAAAGAGAAGAAAGCACAAAAATTAACAGCTCAATATAACAGTGCTCTTCTTGTGCTTCAGTGAAAACAATATGAGGATTCACATTTTAAACCATTTTTTTTAACAACAGAAAGAGGATTCACAAATGTTTATCTTTTTATAACACTGACTTGTAAAAACCACCACATTGAAATGCTATTATTAGACACTGAGCACATCTTTTTGACTACATAATTCATGCCATCCTATGTTAAGCCAGGTTGTATGATAATCCTAGCATATCTAGTCACTTTAGACAATCTAATGCTTCACATTTGCTAATCTTCAAAGATTAATTGACTTCTTGTCAATGGTATCACACTGTAGCTGCATGTTTTGTAAAACCAATGAGAAGCAGACTGAACAGAGAAATTAAATATAATTTATCTCCGCTACTTGATGCACAATACTTACTAGAAATTCTATCAGCTTTGTCTATGCCTCACATAAGACAAAAATACACACTTGATTCTAATTTTGGCTGCCTCACAAAGTATTTACTATTCTGGCTACTTTATCTTATGTGCACTTATCAGAAGCAGGCAAAGAAGACAATTTGTTTGTCAGTATCACTATAGTTAGTTAATTTATGTAAAGAAAGACATACTCTATTTTCTTATACAAAGAGCTTGTTTGGATGTGTTCCAAAAAATAAATTAAATGGATTTATCCATAACCTGAACTATATAGTTTGCTTATGCAGACTTATAATTCACAAAACAAAGAACTAATCTTTTAGAACTAAACTATTTTCAAAGAAAAGATCAATTTTAAATTTTTTTTTTATAAATTGGTGCAATGTCTAACTGACTTGGGATAGTGACAAATGTGTCGATCGATAAATCTTAAAATTACAGATGAAGCTTTCTTTTAATTTAAATCAAATATTGATTTAAGCTAATTTAAATATTGATTTTTAAGCAGATATTTAGAAGATAATTGTTATTAAATTTACAGTGATATATGGAACTTTTATTGTATACTTAGCAAGCAGTGTTGTATAAGCAGTGTAAATCAGTACGAGGTTATGTGTTCATGATCATTAAAATAAGAAATAACCTAACGATGACTTGAACATTTTATTCAAACATTACACTTACCTTTTCACAGAATGGACAAGTTGTCTTGCTAAACACAACTATGGCATGACCATCTATAATCTTCTGCACCTGTTGTTTAATATCATCTGTAATTGGTGGCATGGTTAAATTTGGGGGTTTTCTGATACTTGTGGAGCTCTCCTCAGACTCAGTACTATTTCTTGTCTGAGTTTTGGTAAGAGCAGTTGCCGCACTGGAGGCAGATCTGCTTGTTAGGTTACTTGCTGTTATTGAACTTGCTGTTAATGAACTTCCTGAAGTACTTAAACTTTGTTGCTCAATAAAATGATCTTCTTTCTGATGAAGAAAATAGTATATTTAACATATAAAATAATCCTTCTTGAAAAATCAGTTGCTATGTAATGAATACTAAGTATCAGTTTAGTTTGTTTCAAGTTTCATGCATATTGCATAAAGACTTCATTAGTAAATTTTAAACATACATACTAATACTATGTGGTAATAAGGTAAAAATTAAACACCATGTAAAAGTATTTTTACATTTAGCTTAAAACAAAAACAACAATATTTATATGAAATGTTTATTTGTGAATAAACATGTGTTCTGCATGTTCACTGTTGACCTTAAATTAGGTTAAATGAAAGTGTTAAATAGCATCAATATATTTAATTGCAGCAATGATATATTATTTCAGAAAAACAAGTGTCTTTTTATGCCACCAAGTTAAATCATATTCTTGTTGTACTACAAAACATGAATGATGTTGATTTGCCAGTGAGCATTGCAAGACTTCCAGACACTTAGTAAATAATCCATCAGAGATGATCAGTAAAGTCAGACCTCTGTACATGTTGCGCAGAATGAGCATTTGGGGTCATCCATTTATGACGTCAAATAAAGCAAACTATATCAGCAGATGACAAAAGGGTGCCCTACTTTGGGTTTCAAGCAGTGAGTTTTCAACTATCTCACTGACCAGGTGATCAACCATATTATAACAGAAGATTGAGTTAAGAATTTTCTGTTGTGGTGCATCCCTGGCACTGTCTTAATACAAGTCCCCCCTAACCATTTATACTTAGATACTTTATTTAGGGGGCCATCCGTTTGTGATGTCCACAAAACTTTTGGATTTTAGACCCCCCCCCCCCACCTGAGAGGGAGGAGGTTTTCAAAAAGTTTGACGACAAAGCTTTTGCAACAACGCTACAAACTGATTTTTTATTGGTAAAAGATTATTTTGTACATTTCAATAAAAATTAATCAATCAGAGGTTAGTAAATATTTTTAGAAAAACTCTGAGAGGGGCGCTAGGCTTAGGTGTGACGTCATTTTAGGGGATAGGCCTGGCTTTTTGTGAGGATGTGTGGAATTGGGGGGGGGGGGGGGGGGGGGGGGGTTAAATCATTAGGAATCATGACGTTGCTTCTTATATAAATTACACCAGTGTAAGTATAAATACTTATATTTACTTACACATTAAGCTGAGGCCAACACAATTTCACCAAACTATGATGTATGCTGATAAGTAAAGTCAATGTGAACTCAAAATGAACTGTATAGGTTTTTTTCTCCCACTGATGATCACTGGCTATTAAATTGGAACTGTAATGCTTATTTATAATGTTTTTTACCTTTTCTAATTAAAACACATTCATAAAAAAAAGTAGGCCCTAGATCTAGAACTAATCCTAGCGGTATGTTTTTAATAAAATACGCTCAACCAGAGGTGTAGGCTAAGGGGAGAATAAAATACGCTATAATGGAGTTTTACCCTAGATTTGCTAGAGTTGTTAAAGTAGATCTAATCTAGTCTAGCTAGTAGATCTAGAATCTATATAGATTCTAGATGTCTAGTAGACTAAGTATAGAATCTGGATGATTTTAGATACCGATGTCTGAAAATAAACTTCCATAAAATAGGTGTGTTGGGTTGTTAGTAGTATTGTAATCTCGACTAATTTTATGGTTAGAAATTATTAGGGTTAGGCCTATGGTAGGACCAGGGTTGGGGACGTGTGTATTATTCAGTCAACTAATATCTACCAGTAACCTAACATCCCTTTTTTAAAGAAGATTCCATTATGTACACAGGTGACACTGATATACAAATTCCCCAGAGAATCTAGATTCTAGATTAAAGTAAGTAGAAAGTTCATGAACTTCATAGTAATCATTTCATAGATCTAGATCTCTAAGATCTAGAGCTAGATCTAGTAAGACTAAGAGTTACTAAAAGCTAATAAACCAGGAGTGATCTCCCCTAAACTTTCTTGAATATTCTTATATAAAAAACAACAGGGGATGGGAACTCGGGCTATAGACATGATTTTTAATCCATTTTAAATACTTAAAGTTTTAAAAATAGAATAAAATCTCGTAGACAAAAGAATTGCACACCAAGTGAACGGCAAATAAAAAAGTGCATACTAGTGCGCAATATTATTAGTACTTTAAAAATTTACATTAGTTTTTTGAGAAATCAGAAGTAGCGTAAATTACTACTTCTGGTCAACGGAAATTACTCAAAATTTAACAGAAGGTAGAAAATTAGATCTTTTACTCACATGTGAAACTTCATTTATCTATCTGAAATAGTACTCAAGTTATAGGCTTTTGAAAAATTCAAAGTAGAAAAAGTACCACTTCCGGTTATCGGAAATCTCTCAAAAGTTGATAAGGATCTACGATTTTGATAAAATACTTATAGAGTAAAGTTCCACGCGCGGTTAAAACACCGGTGCGGTCATCGCCTGTTTATCGCTTCGTACAATATTTGTTTTGATGTTTTATACGAAACTACCGATATCTGCTGTAAACCTGTCCATTTCTAAATATATCCAGGTCAAATTCTTTTGTTTTTCTCCTTCTGGAAGTCGAGTTTTTAAATTTTAAAGTTTCGAGGTATGACGTCGAAGGCGATTCTAGTTCCCCGTATGAAAAACACTAGGTCCCGGATGAGATGAATAAACCAACCAATCAAAGCTTTTTATAACTAGGTTAACTATAAATAGCTTCTACAATATGTGCGGGACACTGTACATACGATAGATTAGGCTAATAAAGCAACCTGATAGGTGAATAGGGGTGGCCGCAGCTTGGGTGTCGATTTGGGTGGTTTCACCGCGCTGCGTAACCAACGACTTGAGCTAGACTAGCCTAGTTCTAGATGCTCTACATTTCAAGCTAAGCCTAGAATCTGTATAATTTCTATTTTTTTCTGCTGTTTTAAATTATTTCGATCATCTACTTCTTCTAAATCTAGTTTGTGTCTCTACATACAAGCATATCTAAGCAAATGTTACGTTATGTCTTGTCAGTGGTTGTTACGTGCCTTTGTTATGATTATTATAGTTGCGTCCCTTGAGTCATTACTGGGTCAACTTTTAATGTCGTTAATTAATTTAATTAACATGTTTTTAATTTGGTTTTGAAATCTATTAATTAATAATACAATCAACAACACGTTTAAAAGTGTAAAATATTTATTTTATTTATTAAACTAGGATTAAAACGTATAAAACACGATCGTTACGCAAGCCGGTTCAGATGGCCGCAGGGAAAAAAAAAGAGGGGAAAAAAATATCGCAAGTAGCACGTCACTAAAACATGAATATCTCAAATTCAATGCGTAGGAATATAAAATGATTGATACATATTAAGAGTAGAAAGGCAGAGGAATAATATAGTACTTTGGGTTTGTTCCTGTGTTAAACGGTTACAAAATAGCGCCCGATGAAAGTCGGGAGTTCGCTATGTGTGACCGCGCGTGGAACTTTACTCTATATGAAATTTCATCAACCTAGCTGTAACGGTACTCAAGTAATCGTGTTTACACACAGACACACACACAGACATACGGACAGAATTGCAAAGCCCAGTTTTTTTCAGACTGGATTACGCATAAAACATTTTAATTTTGATAAATCTGGATTGATAATTTTTGCCCGTTTAAAATAAGTCCTCTATACTTCGGATGTGAAGAAGGACTGAGGTGTAGTTTGTAATACAGTGAAAATTGTTAAAATTTCAAGTGATTTTTTTGCCCGATTACAATACTTTCTCTATACTTCGTTAGATCTACGAGAAAGTAAAAAGGTCCTAAAGACCTGGACTCGCTCTAAAATAAATCTAGAAAATCTAATTCTAAACTATTCTGAAATCTTAACTAAACTCACTGAGTACTGTCACACTGTCTGTGACTGACTGTGAGAGAACTGAGTAAAAAAACTAGATCTAGATTCTAGATCTAGATCTAACTAAACTCTAGCCTAAACTAAACTCTAATAAATTAATAGTTACTAGATCTAGATCTAGTTAGAATCTAGATCTAGAAATCTAGGTCTTACAGCTTACTTAACTTTAACTTACTAGACTATTAAAATTAATTATAATATTAATTAAACTACTCTAAAAAACGTAAACGAGAAACGTTACTAAATTTTTATAACTTCAGTAAACTTACTTAATCAACAAGAACTAACAAGTACATTTAGATTCAAATATTATCCAAAATTAGAACTAATGTTTTTAAAAAATCTCGCAATAAAGGCTTACAAGCTTCGTATTTCTTGTATCTCTTGAAGAAGTTAGACGTTTCATTCATGCGGGCTTCTTTACCTTCGGTTACCGCCTTATGGTCTATATAATTTTGCGAAAGAGTTATGCGACTTATTTATACAACATTTGTGCACGCAAGAGTATTTATGGAACCCTATCCTAGAACTAGATATAGACTTCACTAAATGACAAAGCAAAAATTACCTTTTGAGTTTGAGGGTTCGGGATTGCTTTTGAATCAGCAATGTCTTGTTATTGAACTTTAAAATAGATTATTTTTTATTGAACTAAGTAAATGAGAATACAATAAAGCGTAGATCTATGTAATGATCTATGTAATGATGTGGTCCAATCAAAATGTAGCCAACCAATGCGAAAAGACCTATATGCACAAAGTTTTTCTTTCATACTTTTTCCGGGGGTGGTGGAGGTAGGGGCACTTTAAACTTTTGCATGGGGCGAATAAAATTCTCTGGGGCGGGGGGGGGGGGGGGGACTGGTAAAAGTATATATTTTTTATTTAAATTCTATTTCTTCTTTTTTTTGAGGTGGGGGGTGGGGGGCTTAGACGTTCTACCCGAAGAGATGCCTGAAAGAAACTCTGCACGCAAACCAATTTTAAGATTAGGCCTAAACAAATGTCAGTGTCTTTATTATCGAGTATCGATGACGTAATTATTATTTTGTATTTTTTCATCATTGGCTTTTAAATTCTGTTTACTCTCGACGTCATTATATTGTGTGTACTTTTCCGGCTTTAGAATATTTCAAATTGATGTTTAAACCCCCCCCCCCCCCCCCCGAAAGAAAGTCATCTACCGCCCCCCCCCCCCTTTCCCCGAACGAAATGAAATTTATATAGAAAACATATACTTTTACCGGTGTCCGCCCCCGGAAAATGTAGTCCGCCCCCCCCCCCCCCCCGGAGAAAAAAAGTCTGGAAGAAACACTGGTATGAGCTGAGGTTTGAGGTACTTTAATTGGGGGGGGGTCTGGCTTTTTGTAATGATGTGTGACGATGGCGATGGGGAGGGGGGAAAATCGTCAAAAAAAAGTGTGACGTCATTTATGGATAACTCCTTGTTTCTTCCAGACATTTTCTCCGGGGGGGGGGGGCACTTGAAATTTTCGGGGGGGGGGGGGGGGGGGGGGCGGTAGACTTTCTTTGGGGGGGGGGGGGTCGGACACTGTTAAAAGTATATATTTTCTATATAAATTATAGAAATTTTATTTCGTACGGGGGGGGGGGGGTAAAAAAATTTCGGCAAAGATTTAGGCAAGTTGAACTCAAAATAAATTTTATTTAGATTTGGATCTAGAATCTACTTTCCAACTAGATAAAAAGTATTAGCCCGAGGCAAAAAAACGTGTATGGTTATAGTACAGGGGTCGGCAACCTTTTGAAGCGGAAGAGCCAAAAGTTACAATTTTCAAAATTTCCCTGGTTTAAAAGAGCCACTAACATTTTTTTTATTTCAAATATTTTATTTTTTTATTAAGATTATTAGTATTTGTTCAAGGAGCTGGAGAGCCGCATCTTGATATCAAAAGAGCCGCATGCGGCTCGCGAGCCTCAGGTTGCCGACCCCTGTTATAGTAGTATAGTAGTTATACTTCTTACCTTACCGGGCTTTTGTTGATGGCCAGAGTGGGAGCTGTAGACGTGGTGTTTGGGGAACTGTATTTATTATCGTCGTAATAAATCTAGCTCTAGCTAGAGCATATTATCATTAGATTGTTCATTTTTAACTTGACGATTTTACATAGGGAAATATAAAACAGAGAAACATATGTTGAAACGACATAGATTAAGACTAAGAAAAGATCTAGTGTGAAATGTGTGTCGAAGGATGGTGGGGGGATAGAGAAAGGGTAGTGGAGGTTCCTTTTTTAAAAATAGATCTAAATGACGTCACACTTTAAAAAAATAATTTCTTAAAGCCTTAAAGTTATATCAACAGGGGGCGCTACTTTGTATACAATAGCAACGAATGTATTTTTATTATGCACAGCAAGTATGCTACTAGATCTAGATTCTGGATCTAAATTACTCACAAACTTAAATCGTGAGAAGCAGATGATTAAATAAATCTAATAAAACCATTTAAACTTTTAAAGGCTTAATATTTTTGACAAACGCAGAAATTAATATTATGAGTATACATATAGTTAATAATATAGTAGTAGGCTAATAATAGTATTTAATTAGTAATAATAGTAATTAAGTAATTAGTAATAAATAAATAATAAATAGTTAATAATAATAAATAGTTAACTTAATAGTTATTAGTTAATAGTACTTACTACTTTACTTAGTAGTTAGTAGATCTACATACTACATACTACTAGTACACTACATATACTACATTAATTAATTAATAATTATTTGATTTATTTTTATTATTATATATTTTAGTCAGTTATTTATTAATTATAAATTATTATATTTTTTAATTATTATAGTTTAAACTAAAATTATTAAATAAATTTAAACTTCACTAATAATATTGCTAAGTAATCGATTAAAATGAATAAATGAAATTAAATTTGGAACGCTTTACTTCAAAAGACAAAGAAGTGAAATAGATTTATAGACTAATTATATTTTTTAAAATAAGTTTAATTATAATTAGTAATTACAGTATACACTAAGAAGTACATTCAGGCATCTCTTAGAGGAGAGTGCACTGCCCCCCCCCCCCCCCCCCCCCCCCCCCCCCCAATGAAACAGAATTTATATAGAGAAAATATGGAGAAAATGTCTTAAAGAAACACAGATATACATTACATAACCTATTTAATTATTCGTAATTAATTAAAGTATTAAATAATAAATATTAATTAATAAATAACTAGACATATCAATATCATATATAGGCCTAATGGTAAAAAAAAAGTTATATTAAAATTAAATGTAAACTTTATTTAACTTCTTTTTATCTATTTGTCATTTTCAGAGGAATTATGCTGTACTTACCTTATTATTATTTAATTTGTTTCTTAAAGAATAGAATTGTATTTGATATCTGAACATCATTTGTAGAAAATACTAAAGACTATTTGTAGAAATAAAAAGAAAGACAACCACATCCACATTTTAAAAATTCAAGTTTATATCAGCCATGGCACCTCAAAACCATGATAAATTTCTTTTGGATATGGATATTAGCTATGATATGGAACGGCTCTTTGATCCATATAATCTCGATCATATACCAGTTGAAAAAAGACTTGAGTTGTTTAAACAGAGAGATCTAGCTCACGTCAAACATTATAAGGCTGCAGTGAAAATATTTGGTGGGCCTCCAAAGCGTACTAGAATAATTTTAGCACCTTCAATGGAAACACCATTTAAGCATCGACTGGGACTCTATCATAATGTTGCGCCCTTACCTCCTCCACTAGTTTTAAACAATCCACTAAAACCCCCTCAAGAAATAATAAAAGAACCATCCAAAGAGGAAAAAGATATACATGAAGAGAATGAAAAGCGCAGCAATTACAAAAGCTGGATGACAAAACATAAACAAATCAGGAATGACCTTGATAACATGAATCTTAATGAAGCTTTTCTTGCCAGAAAGACTAACAAGTCTGAAATAGAAAAGAGAGTGGAGTCAAAGTTACGTGCCAATCGTCTCTGTAAACTGGAGCCATTGTTATTGCATGATGTTGCTCTACCACCTAAACCTCGTCCTCCAGTTCCTGTAATGACTCTTCCTCCTCCTGAAGGTCTTGAGATACTTGACAGATTTCTGACTCTAAACCAAATTCGTCTCATGGATTTATTCTTACTGGCTGACACTGATAAAAGCTGGTCCATTTCAAGAGAAAAATTTCTGAAACTAATTTCTAAGGTATGATGTTATTAAGTATAGGCTTTTAAGTTCACTATACCATACTAAATAATACATTTTGATAAGAAATTTGCAAGAATCATTTAATTAAAAATAAACTCAGTTTCATTAATTTATAGGGTATGAATAAAACTAAACATATTATTTACATATTTATGAATTACTATTGCTGTTAGAAGGCAGGCATAAAAAAAAACAATACAAATTATTACAAATGTTTAAATCTGAAAATCATTTTTATGTCTGTCACTCTGCTTGGCTTGTTCTGTTAGGTATTTCTTTGGTTGTTCCCCTTATCATGTTACAGACCGACAGACTTAACCAAATATTTAGTAGGAATTTCATCTATATATTTTAGTGAACAGTTAAAGATTACAATAGAAGTTAAAATTATAAAAAGCACTAGACTTTATAAAAAACATTTCTTTTACAGTATGAGTTACCACTAAGTGAAAGTGAGGTGGATGATTTGATTTTATCACTTGACACAGATTCAGATGATAAGTTAAATTACAAAGATTTAAACAAAGGTCTCACAGCATGGAGAAAACAAAGAAGAAATGCTGAAAAACAAAGCTTAAGCATATCTTCTAGCAGTAGTAATCACTCAAAAGGTATTTAAAAAATTGTCTTATAATTTTGTTTTAGTTCATATAGAATTAATAGTTTTTTAAGCAAACTGAAATATTTTATTTTGTTGTATTTTAAAAAATTAATTCAATTATTATTTTAAAACATTTACTTTAACTAATAGTAAAGGTGATTATGAAAAGATTTTAAAAATCAATTACAAGTTTCAGGCAAAGTAGTACATTCCAGTTCAATATTTGCAGGTAATTATAAAACATTGCATATACCAGACAAGGAGAATGAAGTCTTTGACGATGCACTTAATCAAGAACAAGTCCAAACCTTAAAGCTATTAAGATCTAGAGTTGAAGAAGAGCCTCAATCTTCTTATTCTGAAGTCAGATCCCACTCTGTTAAAACCCACGAACAAAATGTACAAAATGTTAAAACTTCAGACATGTTATTAAAGAAACAATCCACAGCAGCAAAATCACATAAAGAAATGTTGTCAAGATCTAATGATGAAACACTTGATGAAACAAGAGTCAGAGACAATGTTCATGACATTGGTCCAGCTGAAGACAAAAAAGTGAGTTATATTATTTTATGATTTTTTTTAGTCAACAGTAATTTTTTATCTAAAAAAATAATTGTTGACTAAAGTGTTAACTTATTTTAAATATTTAACCATATTAATTCACATAACTCATTAAGCTGTACAAACTTCATGTAGAGAATGACATCAGCAAAAAATTCCCGACCTGTTTCTTGCAAAACCTTGTCAAGTTCTCGTACAAGCACACCCCACTCTCTAGAACTTCCAGAATTGGATCTTAGGCAAGAGGCCATGGTGCCATCTTCACCAGAGGCATTGGTAGACCTTCGCAAGCATGACAGAGTTGTCCTTAGCAGGAATAATGTGAAGAGAAGTGTAAGTTTATATTTAAAACTATTAAATGAGGGATTCAAAAAATTCAATCTAATCAAAGAAAATATAGCCTTAGTAATTGGTTATAAATTAGTATATTGTGCTGAATTGAAACCATATCTTTACATTAGGCATTAATTGTAAGTCTTAAGATGTTATTTTCACTCATTACAAATTATTTTTTTCTATTTTAGTTTCAATGATTTAGAATAAACTATAACATAAAATCTGGGAGTAGCTGCTTGGTTTTCAGATTTAGCATTGCTGACTACATCAACATTGTTGTTTCAGATGTCACCAGAACAAAGAATAGTCTATGATGATGTTCCAGGTGTCATCAAGATTGGCTATAAACCAATTGATGACCACTGTTCAGAGTCCACACTTGGTGGTGAGATGGCTAGTCATGTCAATCAGTTCAGAAGGGAAAAACTTAAAGAATACTTTGATGTGAAGAAACTGTTTGAGGATAGTGGACTCCCTTTTACACTTAAAACACTAGACAGAGGTAAAAAGATTTTTAAAAAAATTCATCTTTATACACATATATATATGTGTATATATATATATATATATATATATATATATATATATATATATATATATATATATATATATATATATATATATAATTTTTTTTTTCATTTATTTATTTATATATATTTTTTTTTAATTAGCAAAACTGCATATTATAAACTTAGCTTCATGTTTGCAAAATACAAATTATAAAAATGTTGCTATTACATATTTTTTTTAAATCTAATATTTCAGTTCTCTTGTATCCTGGTGATAAACCTACACATTCTATTAATGGAAGTCTTGGTCTACTAAATGGGTGTCTCATGGAAGAACAAAGTACAAATCGTCAGTCCTTGTCCTTAAAAACAGAACTGAAAAATAAGTACAACAGTAACAGCCCAAGACAGTTATCTGCTCCTGTTACTGGCCCTAACAGTAGTGCCACAAAGTTAAAGAACTCCAGAGAGGCTGCTAGATATGACAGCAAGGATAGAGGAGTTGCTCACAAAAACACTAATGAAATTAATAACAACAAGAGAAAGAATAATAGTAAGCCAAGCAAGAAGTTCAAGCACAGATATGTTAAAGTAGAGGATATTTACCCACTAGCAGCTAAAGTTCTACCTGTAGCACAAGAAGAAGAGCTGAGTTCAGGTTTGGCGCTGATCAAACGTAAAGTAGACAACTGGATGACATTTGAGGAATATAGCAAGTATACAAAGTAAGAAAAAATAGACTTGAAATACATTTTAAAAATTCTCAGCAATGTTTTTTGAAAGTTCTTAGAAATATGTTAATTGTTTTTTAACTCATTCACAGAAAGTTGCAGAAAAAATTCCAGCACAACCAAATCAAAAGCAACCCTTCATCGGACTGGTCAGGATATCTTTTGGATAAACTGCGACTTTGTATGGATAATGAGTCTGTTACTGCCAAAGGAAATTTTCACCATAGAGGTTCTTTACATTACGAAGGTATTGGGACAGGCATGTACAATGGTTTAGGAACTGCTGTGTTTCACCATACTGCACAACCCAAGCAAGCTTACCATGGTTATAATAATGACCTCCAGACTTGGCCCATAGGAGAAAATGGAGTTCGTTATGGCAACATTGATGAGCATAGAATCATAAGATGATTGTTTTTCTGTAACACATTTATGTAAAACAAGTGTAAATTATGACTCATATTTATTTTAGGTTTCAATACTTACTTAATTCTTAAAATATAAAAAAAAAGTTAATTAATGAATCAGCAATGTATGTCAAAACAAAAAGAGTGTGGCAAACAGAAGGCTCATGTAAAAAAATTATCAAATAACAGCATTGATTTTTAATTTAAACTGTTTGTAAGATGAAAGGTAAAGTACCATTTCAGACCTTAATGTCTGTTTCTGGAAACTAGAAAAGTAAACTATTCTAATGACGATGATTCAGCATTAGCAATAGTGTGTGTGTGTGTGTGTGTATATATATATATATATATATATATATAAAATTATATATACGTACATGTATGTATGTTTATACATTTGAATTTTTAAAAATGTTTCTTATTCACTTGTTTTGATGTCACAGTTAATTGCCTATAAGAAAAAGGCTATTGTGTTGGTCATTGCAATTCAAAATTATAAATATATCAAACTATAAAGAATCTTACTTGTAAAAATTTGAATAAAATCTTTTTAGAACACTTTTTATTTTGTCATATTTGAAGACTGGGTTGATTATCTTGAACCATTTTAGCAGTAAAAAGACATAGTTTTTGGGTAATGTGAGATTAAAAAAAAAGTAAGCTTAATTTGACCACATAAAAATTGATTTAGTTAATTGATTTCAAATCTACAAGATATACTTACATAATTTAACAAGTATGATCCAGTCAATTATTGTATTTGTAAAATGTTTGCGCTTTTTAGTTTTTAATTTCTTAAGTATTTAAGTTGTGGAAAACAAATTATTAAATAACTGTCATAATTACATTTAAGTGTAAAGTAAAATCACAAAATAAAATCCCTCAAATTTTAAGTAAAAAAAATTCATATTTTATTTAGCTAATACCATTAGGCTGTCTTTATGACAGATGTCGGCTATATCTATTGTTAGTAACAGAACACAAGTCTTTAATAGGTTACACTTTAGTTTAGGAATGCATACGCAAGAATACAGAATGATTGACAAGTCATGAGTAAGTGCATGAAATTTTTATTTATTTTTATTTGCTTGCATTTTTCTCAGCAATGTAAATTTAATGCTCAAACAAATTCAGACCGTATCCAGGACCAACATCAGCCACTTCATCAAAGCTTGTGATTACAGTTTGTAAAAGTGCTTAACATTAAAAGAGTAAAGCATTCCACAATTAGTTTACAGAAAAATGTTTTTTACATTTATACACAAATTTACAATAGCAATTTAAATAGTCATTAAAGAATATTTCAGGAATTATTACAATGGCCTTTTATAACAAAAACAAAAATATATACCCAATAAAGATGACAGAAGAAAAAACAGTCTTATAATTTATCAATCAAATGTAACATATCCCCCTTCCCAAATTAACAGCAACAGAAAAACAGTCATTTTTAGCTGGTAGTAGAAAGGCAGTAACTACAATATCACACTGTTTATATTAAACTGGCAATGTGGCACACTTCAATTCATAAATTATTGCTAAAAAATACTAAAAGGGTGTTATTTTTTTCCTTTCTTTTTTATTTTTGCTTTCTTTTTCTTTTCAGATGCTTTCAGTAAAGCTTTTTTTGTCATCTTAGGGCCAGTGGTGGCATTTCCACCTGGTTTTTTAATATTGATATTTTCCTCCATGAGGTCACCTAAAAGTCCTTGTTCTGCCAACATTCTGAGAAACGTCATAATAAATGTATCATAGTTGTGAGTTCTTCTGCAAGCATCAATCTAAAAATAGATAAAATGGACAGCGAGTTAATATAAACAGATTTTATTGAATCTTAGTTATATATTTATCTTAAGTTATAATTATATGAATATAAAGTCTTATACTAGTATTTATGAGGTATAGCTTTCATAGAACATCATAACAATTAACATTTTTTTGTTATATTTAATTGTTTAGCTCAGGGGTCTCCAAACTACGGCCCACGGGCCAGATGCGGCCCGCTATGTCCTCTCATCCGGCCCGCGGAGATCTTTTTGTCCACGGAAAAACCATTTGTTGGTGATGGCTGAGGAACTTTGCCCAGAAAAATCAAAGACATTCCTGGAAGAAGTTGGCCCCCGAACTGAAATTTGATAGTTAATGCGGCCCTCGGACTGAAAAGTTTGGAGACCCCTGGTTTAGCTGATCAATGTTTAACATATGAATTTTTGCAAGAGTAAAAATGAATACCTTATACTTTTTGCGCTTTTCATTTTCTTCTTTAAGACTTGATTCACAAGATTCTATTTCTTTGTCAACATTTTTTAACAAATCTAGCAAATCCTTTAAAACAAGAGCAAAAGTTAATATAAGAAAAAAAAAAATCACAAATAAAGCCATTTAAACAAAATGGTGACAGGAAGAAGCTTTGTGTGCATGTACATCATAATTTTCAATATTGTTAAAAAAGAAGCCTTAAAAGGCTGCTTTTACCTACAATATTTGTATGAATGTCTTACCTTTGGAGTGAAGACGTGGCTTGATTTTCTCTTTCGTTTAAGTTTTGAAGCATCATCACTGCCATCTGATCAAAGAGTGAGGTGCAAGAAATAAAATGTCACCAATGACTTCAATATTAAAAACATAATTACTTTAAGCACTGACCTCTTTTAAAAAACCTATATACACTTTAAAGGACAGGTAAAATATACAATCTTTTGAAAGTGTTACTTCTTTTCTAAGTTTCTGATAAACAATTTAAATTTTTAATGGCTTTTTAAGATATACCTTTCTAGGAAATAAATTATTTTAAATTTTTTTATCCTTTATGAATAAAACAAAAATAAAGAAATAGATAGTTGTATTTGGCTGCCTTGAAAACTTTAAATATACTGTTTATAATAAATATATAAAGTTAAGATTACTTTTTCATGATTTTATAAAAGTATATTTAATCTTAAGTGCCTGTGTTAGGGCCAATATCTTTAAATAATGAATAAGAAAATAAATATTTCAAGATTAAATGCAAAAAAATTGTATCATTCCTACCTGTGTTAGTCCCACTTTCTAAAAATTGAGGACTGCTCTGGCAGGAGCTTGTATTCAAACTTCCGGGAGAGCTGAACCCGCTGCCTATTTCTGAGGCTGTATCTGTGCTCTCATTGCTGGCTGCGCAGGGTGAGCTGCTGAACTTGGTCTCAATGCTGAGGGGTTTGGTGATGTCCGTGCACACACCCCCATTGCTTGAACTCACCTGCACTGTAATTTTTGTTTCTGATGCCGCACAATTTTCAACCTTGACCGTCTTGATCTCCACTTTCACCTCTGTGTTCACATCCATTGGTTCTGGTTTTATATTACACTTTTCATTTTCTTTTATGCCATTTATCCCTAAAGGTTCAGAAGTTACAACAGGTTTCTCATCGGTCAGAGTCTGAGCATCTGATAGAGAACATTGACCGTCTGTGTGAGAAAGTTTATTTAAGGTAGAAGATGACCTAAGTTTCATCTGCTCATTCTGGTTTGAGAGATTTGTGGATGATTTTAGCACTGATGTGTTTGAGTGGGTTGAAACTGAGGCAGTGGTTGACACAGCGCTGTTAGGGAGGGAAGAAGTTGAGGGCGACACAGTTGTCACTGCACTGGGTGAGGGTGCAAAGGTTGGAGGAGCTGTTGTGAAAGTCACTGTCTTTTTGTTCTCACTGCTTTGGTTTTTGCAGTCAGAATCTGATTTTTCACTGGTGGTAGGGGAGACAACCTGCAAAGAAAAAAATTCTATGACTAAAATAAAATAATTATTTTAAAAATATATTCTGTATACATACTGTCAGTTTCAAAATTATTATTTAATTTCAAATAAGATCATTAAGCAAATCAAATTAGGAAATTCCAAGCAAACTTTACTATTATGTATAAAAACAGATTAGTTAATGTATAAAACAAAAAAATATTTACAAAACTGGTTAGTTAAAAAGATATTATACATGATAATTAGCCAGTATTAGTTAACACAGCAAATAAAACAAAATTCAAAGGTGAATTGTAATTTAGCAAGAATCATGTTGTAATAGCCGGCAATGCTTTCTTGGAGCCATTTTAACAATGAGAAACTAAACAAAAGCTTTTTTTTAAAATAACAATCTTGAGTCAGTGAGAAAATAAATTGTTAGCATTTTTTTCCAAAGGCATGTATGCCAAACAAATGAACCAGGGCAGAAAGGCAACAGTTTGTTTATAGAACACCACAGAACCTAAGTAAGAGAGTTTGTATTTTATTGAATTTAAGGAAGAGATAAGCTGTTTGATTTTTATTAACCTTAAGCCATCTACCTCTTAAAAACAAAGATTGTAAAAGTGTAAGTTAGCAAATTTTAGCTTTTTTTATGCCACAAGCAAGCTTATTAACTTGCAAGTGAATTCTAATTCATTTTCATTATGTTAGGTAATTTTTCAGACTACCTACCCTTATTATGGATGTGTTTGTTAAACCAATTTACTGCTGTGTTTATTAAATACATTTTTAAAAATGTGATGGTTTTAAAGTGATGTTTGCCACTGTAATTAAATAATCTGAATGTTTTATTTGTAATCATACTGCTAAAAATGCATGCTTATTGACCCATTCAAGCTGTTAGTTTTAATGTCCCAACTGAAACAATTTTTACTAAATTTTAAGTGCTTGAATCCTAAAAGCTGTAAAGGTTTTACACTATTGCTTGCACCATGAGAGCTGCTGTAAGCTTTGATACTCAAACAGTGCATCAAGCATGTTGTTCAGCGTTTAAAAAATTATAAAACGTAATTTAAAGCTCTTCACTCCCTTTTCCAAAACATTTTATAGTACTTAAGTAAAATTTATAATTTAAGTTAAGTTGATTATTAAAAAAAGATATAGCATTAGAAAACATTTTTTTTTAAATGTGTAATGAAATTAAAGAAATATAATGATATACAGAACTAAAAACTTTATTGAATGGGTGATAGCAACTACAAAAAAAAAACTCTCTGTAATTGTAAACTGAAACAATTTTTTTGGAAAATAATTAAAATAATGTATAACAAGAATAGCAAACAAATTCCAACAATACCCAAATAGAAAATAAAAAGCTTCAAACTTAAGCAGTAACAAATTATAAACAGAAAGAACAAACTAAAGTTCTGAGCTAAATTTTCTGGGTCCTTAAACTGAAAACTTGTATTACCTTTGTATCCAGCAGCTAATTTTGGTGTTCAAAGGAGAAAAAAAGTTATACAACCTTGTTTAAAATTGAATTATTCAATGAGTTTTTATCATACTTCTAGGGGATTTATCATACTTCTAAAACATTGGCATGATCTACCAATATAGTTATTTAGCCAGATTTCTTAAAAGGTAATAGTTTTAGTCATAAAATACATTCAGTATGTGCCATTTTGTTATGTTTACATGTTCACCAAAAGTTTAACAAATAAAATTAGGTGCAACATTATTACTTAATCTTTTTATATTGAAAGCAGCTGGCCCTAATGATTAGTTAATAGCACCTACAGTACTTATAAAAATCTAAATCATCTATATACTTTAGTGATCAATTAACTACCCCAGAAGTATGATATGGATCACTAATCAAACAAATTTTTAAAATTACTTTTACAAGAAATCTAAAGTTAAGCTACAGTTTGAGAGAATGCTTTGCAAATGGACAAACCATGAGCTTTTTATAAGCCAGAAAAAAAAGATTGAAAAAGAGTGAAGATGCTTGACAATTACAGACAAGACAACAATCTCACAGATTAAAATGTTTTAAAAAACAAAACAAAAATTATGTTCACATCTGGTGAGCAGAATTCAAACTAAAAGCAGTTTTATCAAGGATAATAAAGTTAAAGAGAAATTGAAATGTAGATCTAAAAATCATATTATAACTTCAATTTTCTATTTTAAAAGGAACATTTGTAGGTAATATGTTGTTCCAATAGCAACATCAGCGTTACTGTGTCTGAAGCAACAGCTTAATTTACAGCTCAGACAAAATGGTAAAAAAAACCACTCTTCTTAAGCTTTTGTTAGTACATCAGATGTGTATGTTATCCGAATTAACAGGACAAAGAAATTCATGTAAAAAAACTATAAAACTTGTAATTACAAGGTTGAAAAAAGATTTAAAAACAGTACAAGCAGACATTTTATACATCAAAAGAAATAGAACATTAAATTACAATGCAAAAAACAAACAAAACAACATGAGACATCACTTACCAAACCATAACACAAACCCAAACACTAACCTGTTGTAAAGCTTCAAGTACAATTTTTCTGTTAGTTTTTAAGGTCAAAAGTTTGTGTTCCAAAAGCTGGCGCTTGTCTGGTACCACAGCCATTAAATTAAACCGAATATCATGATATGGTTCACTGGAAGCAGACGTTAAATGCAGTTTGTAATATACACAAAATGTATTTTATTAATGCTTTCCCAAGTAAAATTTACAATAAAAGTATATATTTCAAATTTTCTACAGCCATTTAAGTTAATTAAAAGCTCATTGTGGTTTGGGGATAATAATTATATAAAAACTAATATAAACAAAATATATTTCATGCCATGTTTCTATTATTGTTAGTATATGTTGTCTTACAAACAAGCCTAATTTATATAAAAGAATCAATTGAAAAAACCTCTTACCCTCCTGTTGCCATGCCAAGTCTGTCAGTAATAACACGTCGAAATTTTTCTGTCCAATCTTCCCCCTTTTCCCATGGACCTTAGGAAAAAAATGAAGTCATTTTGTGAAGCAGAAACAGGAATTTTAAAAAGGTGAATATAAACTTCACATACTCAGGGGTGCCACTCATTTTTTAAGTGAATCCTGAAAATGAATCCCAAAATTTTACCAATCCTGAAACTAAAATTTTAAATTTTTGAAACCCTGAAACTTAATTCCGCGCGGAATTTCAAAATAAAATGGACTATTATTTCATTATTTTCTGAGACATTTGATTCATATTATGTTCAATTTACATTCCTTTAAAATGGATTTATTTTCTTTGTAACAAGCTTCAAATAAAAATTAATCTTTAAAGGATTGTGCTTACAATAAAATTAGTTTACAATGTTAGTCCCATCTCTAGGCCTACCCCATAATGTGCTATTGTAGAACTCCCCCCCCCCCCAGCCAGCTTTTATAACATAACTATTTAATTTTTTAGAACTTCCTAGCTTGAGTTAGTGTATAGTCAGCCAACTGTTAAGTAACAAATGTTTTGCTAACCTCTATGTCTTGTTATTGAATAATAATCCCACTATATGCAGACCCTTAATAAGATTGTCACTGTATTAAAATACAGGGTTGACTTACTGTAGCTATTCAAGGCTTTAATTATTATCAGCCACAACAAAAACCTTAAACCCTGTTTTGCCAATCAACCACCAATGGGGTCATCCATAAATGATGTCACGCTTTATTGACGATTTTTACCTCCCACCTCCCCTCGGTCACATATCGTCACAAAAAGCCAGACCCCGCCCTCTAAAATGACGTCACACCTCAGCCTACACCCCCCCCCCCCCCTAAAAATTGCAGTCGAATGTTTCTTAAAATACGATATTTTTCCAAAAATCTTGCTTGACCTCTGTCAACATAAGAGTATTTTAATCAATTCTCAATTCCTATTACACTTTATTGAAACAATATTCTAAAACGCGAAATAACGGCTAAAATTCGTTTTCTAACATAGCTTTTGGTTAATGCAAAAGTGTGATGTCACACCATCTGAACCCCTCCCCCTCATGACAAAATTACGGACCCCCTTCCCCCTACGAGTGTGACGTCATTTATGAACGACCCCAATTTCAATCGTGAAATATCGTGGAAGTTTTAAGTTCATGTCGCGGAATAACAGAATTAAGTTAATTTTAAAAATAATTTTAGAAGTAACTACGCTAGTAATACTCATGTCAGAGATGTAGCCGCCCGACTAAGTGAAAAGCTGATTTTGTTTTTTACAAGCGGTTGTGAGGGGGCAGTGATAGCGGCTATTTTCTCAGACGCTGTACTTCAAGGTTTTTTAAACATTTCAATGACGTTTTACCAAAGTAAAAAAAAAAAAAAATTAGATGTAGACCCTGCTAGATTGTGTAACTAAATTATAGCAGGCCTACATATTTTGTTTAATGATATAAAACGATGCAGTTCTAGTTTTTTTTTTCTTGAATCTAGAAGAAGTCCCTTAATAAAAAAATAACCACGTTAAAATTAAACAGCGCTTGTACTTGTAGAACTGCCTTGACCGAGAGACACGACTCAGACTGTGTTCACGTGGTCTCGTGACGTAGGTCTTACGGTCAGCGCGACCTTGAAGAAGCGGGTAAGAGGTAGTAAAAATACATAAAATAGTCCTTCAAATAGTTTTTTTTTTCTTTTCTTTTGGTAATACCAAATACAAAAAAAAAAAAAAATTTTTTTTGATCGGAGCAAAATCTTTCGGTTGTTTTTTTTTAAAAGACGATCGGCGATGCTAGTGAGCTAGATCTAGTAATTGTAGGATTTAGTTGTTTTTATTACACAGCCTAGCGATATCCCATTGATGACATCACGTAAATAATGCGAGTTTTACCCCCAACCCATATGGTAATAAATAGCCAGACAACCACACCACGAATGACATCAAAAAGTTCCGTCTATAGCCTCACCCATCTGATACAGCCCATTTGTATTTGGTCCTTGGCGCACGCGTGAGATTGTTGCTGACGTCATTTACTATTCATTTTTTTCGGAAAAGGTCATTAGCGGGAGTGTTGACGATAAAAACGATTTTTACAATGCCAAAATTTTCAAGCTTAAAACGATCTAAATTTTTTTTTTTAAACTGCAAACCCGGAAATTTTCAAACTCAAATCTTGCGAATCCGGAAAGGGAAAAAAATATGATTCTCCAATCCGGAAATCCGGGATATCCCGGAAAAGTGGCACCCCTGCATACTTCCATTTAACCAGAAAAATTCTCAAGTGCTTTGCATAATTTTAAGCCATACCATGATCAATCGGATGTGGTTTCAATCCATCTAGCTCAAATAGTCGACCATGAATAGGAACATAGCTGACAAAGTGAAAAGTTTCAGAGTCCATTGTTCTTACACTTGAAAGGCCGGCTTGCTTCTCTGGTAATGGTTTACTATTCTCAGGCCTAAAAAGAACAAAGCAACAGGTTAATTATAGAAAATTATTTCAATGAACTAAACTAAATATTTTTTTTTTAAAAATAATGAATTAAATTGACAAACTATTTGATTCAGTTTAAAGAAAGGAGTTAAAAACAAAATAATTTTGAAAACTTTCATAAAACATATTGTATTTCACTCTTACCTAGCAAAGCTGTTGTGGACTCTTGCTAGTTCTGGCATATTAGCTATAGCGTAACCCTTGTCCTAAATAATAATGTGATTAGCCATTAATATAACATAGCAAAATTGTCTATTAATAAAATCAAACAGACTGGCTTGTAAAGTAAAATAAAAATTGCCAAAGCTTTTAGAATGGCTTTACTTTTTACCGTAATTTCAAATTTGAAACCAAATCAAACAGCACTTAAGAGCACAAAAGTGATTTTAAATACAAATGGAACATAAATTAAACCTCTGGTGACATTGAATATGTAAAATCTTTAATCAGGTTCAAAGTTTTCCCAAGTTTAAGTTTGTTGTCACAATTCAGCAAAACACTAAGTAAAGCATGTGTGGCACAGGAGTTGGGAATAATCTGGTGGAAAATATATAAATAAATCATAATTGTGTTTCAAAATGTGAAAGTTTTAAGTTCAGAATAATGATATATTATTTTATGGAGATGAAATTACACGTTTTAAAAACAAATGACCATGAAAGTACTGTTTCATAATCCGCTTGAATTCTAAGGGATTTTTCAAAGGATATGCAATTACAAGTTACACAAATGATTTTGAAACTTTGATTTTAAGTTTATATAGAATCATATTTACCTGCTGGGCAAAAAATATATTATTAACAGCATCAGCATCTGTTACAAATGATTCAACTTCTGTATTTGTTTTCCTCCGACTTCTTCGTTCTTCAATCCAACGGAACAAAAAAATAAAACCATAAACAGGCCTGAAATTTAAAATTTTCAAACGATTAAATTAATTAAAATTTAAATATTACATGCTTGCATCTAAATAAGGTGTAAAAATGTTACTAAATGGGTTTGTCTTTGAACCACTTAAGTGTTAATATTTAATAAGCGGTATTTTAAACAAAATCATACAATATGACTAGAGATTTTAAAATACATTATTTTGCATTAAATTGTTTTACCCTTCCATTGGTTTTTGCAGGTCATAAATTTCTTCCACCTGAACTCCATTCACACCTATAAGTAGAAAAAAATCTAGAATATGTTGCTTGTTGTAAAGCTGTAACTAATTTTGTTTTTTTATCAACATGAAATAATGAACCAACTTTTTAACAATGCATACAAAATAAGAAAACTTGCACAACATTGTAAAAAAATAAGTTATTTGAAAAACATACCGAAATCTTCTAACAGCAATGTGAACAGGCCTGAAAATAAAAATCCATTTAGAATCTATATTCATATTCATATATTCTAAAGATCTACTACTATACTACTATTACTATACCACATTCAACCATAGTGTTTAGAGATAATAGACAGTAGAGTAGATTAAAGCCTCCAATAGGCGTTTTCCGCTAAATTTTGCAAAATATTTGGTTACAAAAATGTTGGGTCACGAACTATTTTGGAAAGAACTATCAATTCCCCCCCCCCCCCTCCATTCCCCATCACTGGTTGCTGTCCCTCAACAGCACTTAACACTAAAAGTTTTTATTTTAGTATATTACACAATTAGGGTAATTAGGGGACAGAGTGGTCTAGCAGTAGAGAGCTGGACTGCTAAGCCGTTCAGACCTAAGTCAGTTCTAGTCTAGACTCTAGACTATGTTGAAGTGAGTGTGTACTTGTAGCAGCAGACACTGCAGTAGCCTGAGCAGGTGTAGCCAAACAAATATTAATTTGTAAAAATCCAAAAATTTACATTAAAAAACTCATAAAAATAATTAAAAAAAAACTTTAGGCCTAAACTACCTAAAGCCTAAAAAAAACACTCAAAAATTACCAGGATCACTTTCTAGCTCCAGCCACCCTTTATTCATGTCTGTGTGTTTTAATTTTTATATTGTTTTACATTAAAAGATAATATTCAAATAGATCTATATTCTAAATTGCGTAAGTATTTCTTTTAACATGTGTCTACAAACTCATTTAATCACTAATAAATCACTAGATCTAGGTCTAGATCTAGACTCTATATTTATTTTATTTGACGGAAGTATACATTAGCAGGGGAGATAACTTGTTTTTTTTTGTTTCGCCAATTTACTTCATGAATTTCCCAATTTTAATAATAATTTGTTTATGATAAGCAAGTAAAAATTTAAACCCCAAATTATCATTGTAAAAATACAGTATTAACTATACTCTGTCTTAAGGATACATTTTCTGGAAAAAAACTGCATTGAAGCTCAAGCAATCAAAAGAGTGAAAAAATATATCACAGGTCTTCCCCAGAGTAGGCTATATAAACTATATAAGGAAGAGTTGCGCGGATCCTAAGTTACGAATATCTTTAGTTTTGTGTTGCGGTCTTGCGGAGGTAGATGTTTAAAACATATTAGTTTCCATTAAAACTCATTACAAATAATCGTTGCAAGCTGGGGGTAGGTAAGATATGTAATTCTGCGACATGTGACGTCAGAGGGAAGTTAAGGGGCAGTTTTTTTTCTCTCCGGGGGTAACCCACATGCAGAGGCGTACGAGGTTTGCGTTGTAGGGGGAGCGAAAAGAGCAAAAAAAGGCGCCGAATTTTTAACACGTTCTATATACGTGTAATATATATATATATATATATATATATATATATATATATATATATATATATATATATATATATATATATATATATATATATATATATATATATATATATATATAATTACTAACTGTATGTCATTACTTCGCTATGATGTAAAATAAATTGAAAGTAGCACTCTGAAGAAATAAGAAAAAACACAAAATGTAGGCCGACAAAACAAAAATTGTATCAATCTAAACAAAAAAATATATATATACACACACTACAACCAAAAACAATGAACGTAACACAATCTGTTTTGTAATTCTTGTAAAAAAAATTTCTTACATAATAATTCCTGGGAAATTATTTAAGACAAGTGAAATAGGGGAAATAATCACTCTCTGAATATAAATATGTATATATCTACACATTTAATTATAAATGTCAAAACAAATAAATAATTACTTTAGAATATAATGAAATTGTTTAACACTATTTTTGTTTACAAAATGTTTTTGTCTATAATCAGAATTTAGTATATCGTCATCATAAATGCTAAAATATTAAGCATAATGAAAGTTTTTAAAATCAGAGTTGGTATAAAAGCATGCTTTTCGATATAATAGAAAAACATTCGGAATAGCAGCCTACATCTAACTAATTAATGGTCTTTTAGTTCAGATCATATATTTTTAATTAACTGCTGCTTCTTTGTGTTCTTTAAAGATCATTTTTTAACATAGTATGGGTTAGATCACTGTATTGATCACATACCTTTTTACTGTTAATTGCAAAAACAATCTTCACGTTTTACGTTTAAAAAGCTAATTTTCTGGCGGCATGGTACTTTGGTATATCATTACGCGTTTTTCTACATGTACTTAACAGATCAGTTCGGGGTGGGTTGGGGGGGGGGGGCGGGGTTCAACTTCATTCACCACTGTCCGGTCACTTTAGGTCAATTATCCAACCCAGTGTATATCTAGGTGTGACATTAATGTCGCTCTACACAATTGTGGTGGTGAGGTGTGTGTGTGGGGGGGGGGGGGGGATAACCAACTCAGAGTGAAAATAGCGTCAGTTTTTAGATGACTGTTCTAAACATACACATATATTACACAAATATATATTACACAAATATATATTACAGAAATAGATTTAAATAAATAGCAGTGGTATTATGACTATATTTTTTTATACAGAGAGGTCCATGGGGGAGGGGGTTGTAACTGTTTCATATAATTTGTAATCGTAATCACATTGCAATGCATCGTAATGGTTATTTTTAGAATGGCAAACTGATGCAGCTGTTAATACGTGTTGTAAACGTAGACACTACTAGGCTAGTACAATAATGTTTAATTGCTGCATGAAAAGAAATCTTGTGATTTACATAGATGTGCCGACCAAGAATATTTTTTTAACAAATATCATTGTTTAAAACTTTGAGTTTAAAAAGTTTCCAAAAAGGCGCCACTTTGCTGAAAATGGCCAGAGGGGGAGCGGCCGCTCCCCCTGCTCCCCCCCCCCTGCGTACGCTACTGCCCACATGGCATGTCCATGGCATCTCCCCTTGAGCCGGCACCAGGTTATTTAGCGCCCTAGGCAAAACTTATTAAAAGTGCCCCCCCCCCCGCGCAATTGTTTTCGTGCCCCCTGTATTATCAGAGGCGTAGCGACCCCTCCCGGCGCCCGGGGACAAGCTTTCGATTTGCACCACCCCCCTCAAACTTTCAATTTGTTTTTCCAACCCATTTTGGCGCCCCCCTACGGACAGCGCCCTAGGCGACTGCCGAGTTCGCCTTATAGGTAGCGCCGGCCCTGATCCCCCCTCCCCCCCCCCCCCCCCCCCCCGCGTTGGACGAAATAGACAAAATATATACTTTAGTAGGCAATACATAGATCTAGGCCTACTTTAAGCAGTGTACCAACTCGCCATGGAGAAAAATGCCTGGAAGAAAACCTGGGGCAAAAATTGTTTTTGTACGTCGCTAGCTCAAATCCCAGCATGTTGTGTCTTCAACATAATTATCAAAGATGATTTTTTTGTGATTTGTTAGGGATGAAAAGAAGATAGATCTAGATATCTTTATGGATCCGATGGCTTTTTGCTTTTTTTTTTTTAAGTTAGGGGCGGGAAGAGTTATGTTTAATTCAGTCTATTTTAATTCGATAGAAAATTTTCCTCGTGTGATTATCCACCCCTAGCAATTCCCTAGCTACTTCACTGCGTTTACGTAGTTTCTTTGGAACTTATAGATTCAGAGAATATTTTGTTTTGCCCTTTCTTTTTGAAGAGGATGTGAATCCCGTTAGGAGCCATCTAGCATTGGAATTTTAGAGTTATTTCCCCTTATTTTTTAATTCTTCAAGAACTAACAATAGTTCAAATGTCCTCACCACTCAAAATGCTTTATCTTTCAGGCCTATCTTCGTGTGTGTGGAGGGGGGAGGGAGGGGGGCGCTATCGCCCCCTTTCCTCTATTTATATTTAAAATACAGCCAATACTTTAATCCCTCGAACGTATGGAGATTTTAACTACACACCCCCTCCATAAGTTTTGCTCTCCTTGGAGAAATGTCTGAAAGAAACCTTGGTGTCAAAACTCTTGTGACTTACTTGACTTAATCCTCTTTACACCTTGTTGGACACACTGTCTTATGTCTGTTAATAATTCTATTGCCAGAAGGTTTTACAGTAGGCCCTACGTCAGTGGCGTAGCGAGGTCGGGTGTCACCCGGTGCGGCACTTAATGGTGCCACCCCCCCCCCCCCCAGAGGCGTATCGACCCTTACCGGGGACAAAGTTTCAAATTTTCGATTTGCACCCCCCCCCTCAAACTTTTGATTTGCACCCCCCTCAAACTTTCGATTTGCACCCCCCCCCTCAAGTTTTTCTCTATATATTTTGCTATTTTTTGCCTTGGTGTCACTCCCTCAAGGGTGTCACCCGGTGCGGTCCGCACCCCCAGCCCCCCCCCCCCCCCCCCCCGCTACGCCTCAGCCCTACGTTAAGAATAAATTATTTCTGCATAATATGTAGAATCTATAACCAGTCTACCTATATGCTGGTGATAAAAAGATATTTACATACCTAAGAGGTCGCCCCTCAAATATTTACGACGTCACGCTACTTAAGCTGACCCCCCCCCCACCCTTTTTTTAAAAAAAAGTTGAAAACCATAATCCTAAAAATTGTTTTCCTACCTCCTTAAAATAAGCCTAATTTTTGTGTGCTTTTCATCAATTGTATTCATAAAAAAAATAGTTCCTTCATCCCTCTCTCCTCGTCTATGCGTGTAATGCCATTTATAGGCATGACATTTTACCAATCATTAATCGATCAATACCGATAAGTTCGTGATATCGAATGTTTCATCAGCCTAAATCAACAAAGTGTGGAATAAACAATTACTCTCGTAATACAGACAAAACAAAACCTATTTTAGTTGCTTTATTAAATCTATAGGCCTATAGTTTCGCGTGTTTTTTTGTTTTTCAATGCGTTACCCTTTCCAATCAACATTTTGCAATTTATAAACACAGTCCTACATCAGCAATTTCATTACTTTTGTTATCTATGCGTTTGGAATGGTACGGATCATCACCATAAACTAAACATCGTGTGTGGCTACAGATAGCAATACAGTTTATTTTCATTGCTTAAAATCAGAGGCTTACTCACATAGGTAGCCCAACAAATTAAAATGTTGGACGTTGAGAGTCCATGTTAATACTGTCATATATATTTTGTAACACAAAACTTGCAATTTTTTACCAACCACTATACTTAATATAACGTTACACGACGATCTCATTGTCAACAACCCTCATATTAAATATAAATCAATTAATCACCACACACCCTCACAGAAAATAATGAACTACATAAGAACATTTGGAATAATATTAATAAATACTTAATAGCTCTTCGGTGTTTCTGTTCTTGAATAAAAAAAAAAAAGAATCAGACACATTGTTCCTGCAAGATTTTGGGAAATAAAATAAAGAACCAGGAAACTAGTAACAGATGTTTTTTAGCGATTGATTAATTAAAAACAATACGTCACATGACCACCACTCCATGTAAGTCGATGCTACACAATGATAAACCCTCACCCCAACCGGCTTTCTGTGTAATATAACAACGATCCTCAAAGATAAGTGAATATTTTGTTTTATATTAAAAACAAAGGAAAAGTTTTTTAAAAAGTTTAGCTAAAAAAACGTGTAGGAAATCTTATGAATCGCTGTAGTGATATCTCTGTGGGATGAAGGAGACAGCTACCCTCAACGGTGATGAATCGGCCTGGCCGGCTCATTGTCCAGTTCCCAACATTCCGGCCGAACAGAGAACAATGGGCTGGGTGACGCCCGGGCCAGCTGGACGTCCTTGTGCCCGCCCTCAGATGAGTCAGTGAGAGACAGAGACCCAGGGGTGAGGACTGGTCACTGTGTCATCGTGGGGTGTGACC